TTTTAGAATATGTTTCATACTTTTATGTACGGGGAACAACGATTGAATAGCGGGCGCGCAAAGAGGGCTGTGTACGTAGAAAAAAAAGGCACCTTGCATTCCAAGGGAAAGGAAAGGTCGTGCACTGGCCGTTTTGCCCCAGACTTAGTTATTTATTTTTCTTCTTCTCTTCCCTTGGCGCCCATGCGACGAGAGGATCATCGTTTAATCTCGTGAGCATTGGAGGGAAAGGCGGGCAGTGGTAGTGGTAGTGGTGGTAGTGGTGGTGGTGGTGGTGGTGGTCAGGCCATTCAGCTTCAAGTCATGCCATCATTACTGACCCTTGCTTCTTGGTATGTATTTTATATGTATGTGTAGTACATGTATGTATTATATGTATGCAACTGTGCCCTAACTCACCCTTTACAAGACCCTACTTCAAACATTGCAGGTTTGACAGCCTTTTCCTTGAAGAAGAAGAGATGAGAAATATGGGAGGGGGGATTCCTTTCATCTCACATTCCTTCGATGATCGTCTTCCCCCTTGTTCGTCACTTGAGCTCCCACGCACCTTGGGGTAATTTAATCGAGCTCGGGGGCCAATCAGAACCTCCAGCGCGCGGCATCAAAAACGCGGGATTGCCAATTGAAGTAAAGTTCAACTAAAAGGCCGCAGTTTGCTGAAAGAGGTTTACGGCGGGGGGCCCCACCGTTGAGGGATTTCATCTTCTTAGACCACGGATTCCCAAGGTCAGGTGGTGAAAGATGTTGGTTGATTCTACACTATCGAAAAGAGGTGGAGATAGAGATCAGAGCCATGACGACATCACGCATGGTCCACGTTCATTTGATCTGCAAACAAACAAAAAAAAAGCCTACATCATATTATATCGCATGGTGTGGAAAATGTAAAGTATGTACATCACACTTTATTATCCGTATGCTCCACATTCGCATACGAGACCCCAGTTTCCTCCACTTTATTAAGCTCGACTTCGGCGGCTTTCGCTTCCACATTCTCTGGTAAGGTCCCCAACGCCCGTCCACCGAACAGGAGATCGATCTCTTCCAGCGACTTCTGCTTGGTCTCCTTGAAAAAGAAAAACACCGTCGGGATCGTGATACAGACATCTAGTGGCGAGAAAAACCATATAAGTATCTGTTTTCACTTTGCTGTTCACTCCCTTATATCAGAAAGGACAAGAAAACTTACTAAACAGAATGAAGACCAGGTAGAACCTCCAGTGAATCTTGCCGAATGCAATTGGCGAAACTTGATTCCAGATAGTGCTTACTACCCAGTTGCCAAGGCTGGTTGCGACGGCGTTTCCTCGGCCTCGGATTTGCATCGGCATGACTTCGGCCATGTAGACCCTGGAGGAGATGGTTGTTAGTCCGGTTGTCCTAAAATTCTTCCCAAAAGCGGTGATGGTGACCGTATAGTTTGGAGGACAAGAGATGAAACGTACCAGGCGCATGATCCGTAGGAGAAGGAGAAAATCACTGTGATACAGAAAATGAAAAACACGCCGGCGATGCTGTAACTCGTCCGGGACCCGTCTTCGTTGACCGAAGTCAGTGCGGCTTCGCAGATCAGGACGATAGTGACAGCTATCGAGCCAAACAGCATGGGCTTTCGCCGCCCCACTTTGTCGAGCAGGAAAACAATGAAGATAAGGTTGCAGATTGGACCAACGCAGTTGTAGATACCGGCGACGAGGATGTTGCGGCCTCCGGTGATGCCAAGGGAATTATATAGGATGGTTTGGTAGTAGCCGATCACGTTGACAGCGGTCATTTGCGCGAAGGCCTGGACGGCGATACCATGACTATAGTAGTGCGAACGGCTGTCATCAGTAGCTGCCATCTTGCAGGGGGGGTGGTGGGGTTTCAGGGATGAGCTTTTTTTCACATACAGCAATCGAGTCCGCCATTGGGGAACCTGGAACATGATGAGCCAGCCCGACACTGTTACAGCCTTCTCGGCATCAATGGTCGTTTTGATTTCATTGAATTCAGTCTGGATCCATTCGTCGTTCGTGCCGTCATAGTGCAATTTCCGTAAGATCTTCATTCCCTCTTCGTAGCGTTCCTTTTCGACCAGGTACCGAGGGGATTCTGGCATGAAGAACATTCCCACTGCTAGAAGTATGCAAGGAACCGTCTGGAATGCCAGAGGAAAGCGCCATTGGAACTCGCTAGTTTCTGGAGCATGAAGTGATCCAAAACCGACCCATCTATCGAAGCATCAGTGTTAGGTCTCCACCTCGGGACGAGGTCGCTAGGAGTCAAATGCAAGGAAAACATACGTGCTCACGATAAAGCCAATACCGATCATTTGCTGTGACAAACCGATAATAAAGCCTCGACTGCGAGGATGAGCACACTCGGCCTGATAAACTGGAACCGACATCGACAAGATACCGACAGCCCATCCGGCCAGAATACGACCAACGAGCATCATAGCCAAGTTCTGAGCAGCGGTCTGAAGAACAGCACCAACAAGACATATGAAGGCGCCCATTTGGATGGTAAATTTACGGCCGAACCGATCCATCGTAAGTCCTCCCTGGAGGGCTCCCAACGCAGCTACGGGTGACTAGTCAGCACTCCTTGCGTTCTTAAAGGTATATTGCCTGTGAAATTAAAGGTTAATGATCGCACCTCCACCGGAAAATGTACTATTAATCGCCCCGATGATTGGGGAAGTCTGGACGGTGTCGAAGAAGGCAAGGAAGTTCTTTGATTCGATCACATCGGTCATGACACCACTGTCATATCCGAAGAGGAATGACCCCGTGGCCGCGAAGGCGGCCAGGCCGATAGTGAAGCCGCGACCCATGTTGATGAAGCTGGAGTAGTAGCAATAGCAATATCACCTTTGGCAGGCGATGAGCCGGTCAGTTCAGCCCAGGGAATGAGGGGCGAGGCAGGGAAAGGACAAGCCAGGTATCGGGGGAGTAGAGATGAGATCGGCAGGGCAGATAGAGAGACGGCATTGTCTTAATATATCGAAACAAGTATTAGCCTGTATTATAAGCGAGGCTTGTCTGTTTTAAGGATCAAGCCTAAGGATAAGTCTGGACATGAGGATACGACCCAGTATGCAGTGACTGGCGGGTAAACAGAGCGAATAGACGGCGTGGAGAAAATCCGGGGACGACCCGCCCGACACTAAAAACCACGCCATGTTCCTTACGGGTCCCGTGATTGGCCCGATGTCCATCTCGACCCTTCTTTTTCCCTCCATTGTCAGATTCCAGCATATGAAGTCTAAATGAGGCCAAGCCTGATATATTACTTGGATTTAGCCATGGCCGGATAAAACGAATTATTCCACGTATTGTTGCGCGGCCGACCAGGGTGGCGTCCAAGCGTACCCTAAAGTGCACACCCTCTTCTAACATGATCCAAACGCATCAGCTCAACGGCCTTGACTGCCAAGTCGGTCCGGTCTGACCGAAAAGATATGTTTGGCTCTGAATTCTAAACGCATGAGATTAGCGATAATTTCGGCATCTAGCGGTTCTATCTAAACACATGGTAAGGATATAGGACCATCTCTGAGGGCTATTTCATATCACATGACTCATCTTCGTATGAACAATCTCGGTCCAGCTCTCAGCAAGATACTTCATTTGGTTAGTATCGGTAGAAGCCGTTAAGCCTAAGTTCCCCGTGGGAATAGGCCACCCGGTTAAAGCAAGAATCAGGGTACGGCCTGAGTCTGGGCAGCCATGTAATAACAGGGCTCGTATAGCAGGCCATCACGTGCACCGTAGGACTACTAGTAGTACTAGTCTTCCTAGTAGTAGTAGTCCATAGTCCCTCATCCGATTACGGCCCGTAAAACTATTCATAGAATGTCAGTCTCCGAGATCTCTACACGGCACTCGGATTTAATGACAACACCTCGCTCTAACACCGAAACGACGACGATTATGAGCCGTGGGGGCGCAAAATAACTTCTTAAATATAAATCCACCGTAGCTATATACCTCTTATCTCCATCTCCATCTCCATCAACATTTCACCTTCTATCATTCTTCTCATCTATATATACTTCGCCTGCTCAGGTTGAACCGTCTTTTCAGCAGAACAGCACCCACAACAGCAATCACACAATATCAACTTATCAAACATCCACCATGGCTGAACAACATGAAGCTGCCATTCTCCCTCAGCAGGGCGGTCCTTTGTCTCTCGGAAAGCGTCCCACCCCCGAGCCCGGTCCAAATGATGTTCTCATCGAAGTCAAGGCTGTTGCCTTGAACCCCTGCGATCATTTCCAGCGTGACTATGGTATGCCTCCCGTACCTATCTACCCCGCTGTCATCGGAGCCGATACTGCTGGTGTTGTCGCCAAGCTGGGCTCGAATGTCACCACAGTCCCTGGTACAGGAAGCCGAGTCATTGCCCTTGCCTCATCATTCTACCAGAACGGCTCCCCCGACCACGGTTCCTTTCAAAAGTACACTTTAGCACAATCCGAAGCTGTCATCCCACTTCCAGACAATCTCTCCTTTGAAGAAGGCGCGGTCTTCCCCTTGGCCGTCCTGACTGCCTTGACTGCCTGGACCACAATCTGTATACCCCTCAATACCAAGTACACTCCCGCGGACAAACAAGCGGTCCTTATCTGGGGCGCATCGAGCAGTGTAGGCACGTTTGCCGTTCAATCGGCCAAGACACTCGGTTTCACTATCTACGCCACCGCCAGTCCCAAGCACCATGACCTCGTCAAGAAGCTCGGAGCCCATGCGGTTTTCGATTACAGGGCAAGCGATGTCGTCTCCCAGATCGTCACCGCCGTGAAGAAGGATGGTACCAAGCTGCACACTGCACACTGCGTTGTTGATGGCGCTCTGCAGCCAACATTGGACATACTCAAGGAGACCAAGGGTGATGCACACGCAAAGGTTGCACACTCGCCCCTTCTCCCAGAAGGTCACCCTACCCTCGACAACACGCAGATCATTTTCAACCTCCCATCTATGGACGAGACCGCGAGGAACAAGCACATGAACGAGGTCTTCAATGGGTGGCTGAAGACCGGTCTGCAGTCCGGTGAAGTAATCCCCAGCCCCACTATCCAGATTGAGGGTGGCGGTCTGGGCGGAGTGAATGCAGCGCTAGACAAGCTCAAGGGTGGTGTCAGTGGCACTAAGATTGTTGTGCCAGTCTAATGAATTGCCTTTTGCTAATCCTCACGGTACTCTGGGATCCCGACCTTCGTAACGATTTCGGCGTAGGATGCCTCGTCATCGAGCGGGATTAAGTGTGGAAAGTTGAAGTCGACAATGACGTGCAGTGCTGCGAGATCGTGCTTGACCTATTTTTTTCTTCTGAATTAGCTTCCCAATACCCCCTCGTTATATTGCCTGTCTGGGGCATACTCCATCTGAGAACGTAGTAACGACGTCTTCGGGTCCGACTGTTAGATCTTGGGTTGCATTCGCGGATTCAGGAAAGGTTGCTTCAGCCAAAATCTTGCATGATGTGGTTGCCTGAACCTGGACTTGGTTCGCGAGACCTTCGAAATTAGTCGTCTTCAATGCTCAAATATTCCGATGGAGGTTTCCAGCCCTCTTGTTTTATGGACAGTTGGCAGTCCCGAGGCCCATCAATGTTTAATATCGTGTATTTTTCACTATAGAATATGACGGTAGTTGATTCTGGGGAGGAAAATTCGAATGACAAAAGAGGCTGCAAATATTTTGCCTATGGCATCTGATGCTTCTCTGCTTCCGTTGTGACACGCATTGTGGATCCATGCAGGGGGTGTATCTCAAAAGTTCGCAGTTGATTGAAAGATCTACAAGATATTGACTCCACATGCCATAAACTTAATTTAGTGAGAGGATAACGTGTTATAATTTCATAGGGTTTATAGCCCTAAGTAATTGAACACTATATTTTATTCAATAATAGCAGCACTGAATTTAGCTGATCGTAAAAATAGTATCTTTGAGTAATTGCCTCGGCTTACAGGAATTGATCGAGGAAGTAAAGTGATGTAGGTAGGGTTCTATAAGATATGTGGATGAATTGTATGCTATGAATAAGCTCGGCCACTTTCAACTCCGAATTAGTCATGATGTTTAAACATGCCCAATTATATAGATCGATGTGTTCCCGAATAACTCTAAATATTGACAGAATTTCTTTTCGCATACCATCGTGTATAGCTATTAGCTATACATCCTAGTATCATACCATATCCGAATGCAAGTGACATCCCATACTACTACGCCCACTACAATGTCCCAGGCCAACATTGTCATCCCCACCGGGTCTCTCATTCTCGTGACCGGTGCAAATGGCTTCATAGCCTCCCATATCGTTGATCAATTTCTCAAAAGGGGTTACAGAGTACGCGGAACCGTTCGATCCGAGAAACCATGGCTAGATGATTATTTTGCCACTAGATATGGTGCTGCTCATTTTGAATCAGCTCTGCTACCGGAGCTGAGGGACGAGGAGATGCTGAATAAATTATTGAACGGTGTTGCAGGTGTCGTGCACGTGGTATCATTACTCCCTCGAAGTTGATATCTATCAGTGCTGAAATGAACTCTAGGCATCAGATGTCTCCCTGAAGCCTGACCCAGAAATCATATCGAAATCCGTCGCCACAAACTTGACTGTTCTTGAAGCCGCAGCGAAGCACGATACCGTGACTCAATTCGTTCTGACTTCTTCGGCCTCTGCCGCTTCGCTCCCACAGCCTGGCCAGCCTGGTATTAATATCGACTCCAGTGAGTTGTTGATAGCCCAACATGCCATTGGTATCTAATGTGTCCAGCTACATGGAACGACGGTGCTGTAAGAAGTGCTTGGGATTCCAGTGTTCCTGTAGCCCACAAACCATACCTTGTTTACGCTGCATCCAAGACAGAATCAGAGCGAGAGGCCTGGAACTGGGTAAAGCAGAACAAGCCTAGCTTTGATTTCAACACAGTCCTTCCCGGCACCGTCGTAAGTTCAACCGAAGGTCTTTTCCGCTCTTGACTGACCCATAGTGTCTATAGTTTGGCAGAATACTACATCCTGAGATAGGTGGCTCTACCATGGCTCTCGTCCGTAACCTCTTGTCTGGGAACCGGGCTGGTATCGACTATGTCTCTCCCCGTAAGTTGAGCATTATCTTCCATTTGAGGCATTGGTTAAGAACAGGACCATAGAATGGTTCGTCGACGTCGAAGACACAGCCTGCCTACACGTTGCTGCTCTTCTTGATGGAAGGGTGAAATCAGAACGTCTTTTTGCTTTTGCAACTCCATATAACTGGACTGATATCGTGGACATTCTGCGCAAGGCCTTCCCCTTGAATAGCAGTATCCCCCAACTCCCGGAGAATGAACCGCGGGATCTGGGTCTGGTAGGTCCTTCTGTCAGGGCAGAGAGTCTAATTAAGGAGTTCTTGGGCCGTGATGGATGGGCGAGCTTGGAAGAAAGTATTCTTGGCGGAACTGGGGACCTTGACGGATTTAGGAGGTAGGTTTTGTTCTTCCTCGTAAGGGTTATGTGCACAGCGGCTTAATATTTGATATGGAGTATATATCACCAATAGGAGAAGTCATGTGGTAAGTACTAGTTTTTGAAATCATATAACAGAGAGACTTAACAGATCGAGCAGCTCTTAGGTTTTGATTACTAGTTAGAAATTTAATATTTATTTTATTTTATTTTTCTTCCCCCCGGCTTATCTGATTATCTGTCAGCTTAGATTGATACATAATTAAATCTGCCAAGTGGCTCCGCCACCCCCCTTAGCTATTTACTGAGCATCAATTCTGTCTTGGCAAATTTGGATATTACTTCCATTTGTCTCGGTATCTCTCTTTTCGATGATGTATCTAACGAATAAATATATAGAATATTGATTTAGAGAGAAATGACTGTATGATTTTTAGATCAATCAACAGTTGTTTAGGGAAACTCTGCTGCTTAGAATTAAATTAACCTAACTGCTTCCTCAGACACTAGCGCCAAAAAAAAAAAAAAAAAAAATCCTTTCAACAATCCTATATTAAGCTTAGCGTGATCTTTTCGAGCGTCTTGAAGCTGGTACCAACTTTACTAGTCGTCGGTAAATCCATTCCATGGAATGTTCCGATCGCGGACCGACAAAAACTTAGTACTACTGTTGGTAGCAAGTAAGCGATGATGTAGTACATCAATGCATCCTCCCCTGGTTCTCATTTTTTTTTTTTTTTTCTTTTCTTTGGTTTGTTATTGCTCATCATCCAACTCCATCCATACTTAATTGAACCACACAATGGCATGGATTAGTCGCTCCGACACGATGCCACAGAGCTCTCCACCATCGTCCCCTGCCTTGTCAAGCTCCTATCATTCCATACGCCCTAGAAGACCTAGTCTTGAGTTCGAGGGTGAAATCTTGTCTACCCGTGGTCAACGTTTGGCAAGTCTTATTCGCCGGCGTTCTATCTCCACCCAGAGCCCTGAACCCTGGGATGATAGTACTCGGCATGATGACCTTCCGCCATGGGAACGGGCAAAGAAATTGATCGGGGACGTTAAATCCGTCTATAATTGGTATGTCATTTGGCCATGGTCCATGAACATGTCTGGCTTTGCAGGCAGTGCTTGGGGGGGAACGCATATCTAATGCAAATCCTTGCCTCTAGGCAACTGTATTATAGAGACCCCAAATCGTTAGAAGGAATGGGGAAAAAGCTGTGGGTAAATTCCTCTCTTTAAAGTTGAGACACTAACCTAACGTCATCAGACGTGAATACTATGAACGGAACAATAATCTCATCGCGCAATACGTATACATTGACCGACTACTGGACTCATCATTGCCGCACCGCCTCATTGGAGATTATCACCAAAATCGAGATGTTATACCTGAGATGCACTCCTGGAATTCCGGAAACGAATACGAACCTGACAACAGCCTGTCTACTGTTCCTGCTGATGGTAATGGTAATAGTAATGGAGAGCCGCAACAAAAGCAAGACCGAATTAAACGGACTCCGCGCAACCTCTATCGAATCCCAGATGAGAGCACGCCTCTTTTACCTCAGGACGGAAACGAAAGCGCCCCGTCTCTATCCGATGGCGGGGCGAAAGACGACGACTTCGTGGATAGCAGTGCCCGCATTGTTACTATTGCCATCTACGTGAACTTCATCGCCAACGTGGTCTTACTAATAGCAAAAATAGTCGTCATGTCCATGACAAACTCCCTTTCCGTTCTTGCTAGTTTGGTGGACGGCGCATTGGACTTTCTGAGCACTGCTATTGTCTGGGTGACAACAACCCTCATTCAGAAGGACGACCGCTATCAGTATCCCATTAGCAGACGTCGACTGGAACCCCTGAGCGTCTTGGTCTTCGCCGTCGTGATGATGACCTCCTTTGTCCAGGTGGCCATCACATCCTTCACTCGGCTGATCTCCGACGATACAAGCTTAGTTAACCTAACGATACCTTCGATTGCGGTGATGGCCAGCACCGTAGTCGTGAAACTCGCATGCTGGTTCTGGTGTCGATTAATCAAGAACTCGAGTGTCCAGGCCCTGGCACAAGATGCTGAAACAGACGTGGTATTCAACTTATTCAGTATCTTTTTCCCTCTGAGTAAGGAGCAACCCTTCTGCCCAATTACCCTCCCAAGATATTAGAAAAGAAAAAAACCGAAACTGACCTTCGTTCTTCCAGTCGGCTCCTTCACCAAACTATGGTGGGTCGACCCTTTAGGCGGCCTTCTTCTCTCAGTCTACATCATATGGAACTGGAGCGGAACCGCAGGCGAACACATTCGCCATCTCACCGGAGCGGCTGCATCTCCCATCGACCAGAGTGTTCTACTTTACATGACCATGCGATTCTCCAAAGCCATCCTCAAGATCCAGAACCTAAGGGCCTATCATGCTGGAGACCTCTTGAATGTCGAAGTAGACATCATCCTGGAAGGGAAGACCCGACTGCGCGATGCTCATGACATCGGCGAGAGTCTGCAGTACATGATCGAGAGTGTCCCCACGGTCGATCGCGCCTTCGTACACATGGATTATGATCCGTGGAATATCCCCACCCACCTGAATCAACAGGCTCATTAATTCATATAGAAACAGAACAATACCACTAATTCATCAGGCGTCGTTGTAACTCTTATCGTTGCATTAAATACATAAATACCCACATACAGTGCATACCAGCTGAGTCATCCCCATCAATAAGTTAAGTACCACGTGACCCCGCGTCCAGCGCGTCGCGGGTAGTACGTAGTCCGATCCCAAATTTCCTTTCCTGACGGGTTATGTATGTAACTTGCGAGAGAGGGGAGAAATTAAAAAAAAAAAAAAACTACAAAAGCGGTGTTGTAACATAGTAAAGTGACATTGGGACTACTCGTACCTTTCCCAAACCAGCGGCACATGACACTATCAGTCCGACGTCAACCATGGAAAGAAATGAGATGAGTGGGTGGTAGGAAAGATTCTTTAAATATCCTTTATTCTGGATTGGCTCTGGCTGCTGCTCCTTACTTAGGTCGTCGTTCTCCCCTCGCATTTGGGGAATATCGGTCGGCCAAGAAAATACCCACCTAGGTTAGAATGTTCATGCATTTTAACCAAGGTTGATGGTGGTGGTAGTAGTGGTGCTGATATTGAAATTCTGGAGGGTATGATAAAACCGTTTGTATACCGTTGGTATGGGTGTAGTTGTTACTATACATACACCACAACCGCGATGGTGTCGTATCAACCCCGCGCCCGGAGAATTGGGACGATATGAAGATGATTTGTTTACGGCAGCGGGATGAAGTGTGTGCTGGCAATGGTGATGTAGTTATTATATTTTAGAAACGATGTTTTATTTTAATTTAGAACTTTAAAGGAAATAGAAGAGGGGGAAAAAAAAATGAAAGAAAATAAGCTCAAAATTCCAGAAAGTTGGACCCTCGTGCTCCGGGCGGAGCTAAGCTGAGTTACAACGCCTGCACGGGTGCGTCCGCGTCCACATCGCGACGCGATTAGATGAAGCGCTTTTTTCCCACTCATCTTGGGGTCACCTTTTCGCTCCAGATCACTAGCCCCCCCAGAACGTCCAACGGGACTAGTGCTGGCTTTCTTATATTCCTGGTGGTTTCCTGCTTCTTTCTTGCAATTGTCTTCTAGGGCCCTCATGCTTATATCCTGACTTATCAACTATACAATGTCTGACCCGGAGCCTTCTGCTGCGCCATGCTCATCGTCTCCGTCAACTGCTCAGGCATCCGAGTCCACGGCTGCTCTCAATTATGCCTTCCTCGTACACTCGCAGAAAACCCTAACCCAGAACCTTCCCCCGCGTGTCGATAATAAGTTACTCGCTCGGCAAAAACGTCGCCGCACAAGGTATATTAAGCGGAACGGCCCCATTGATATACCCAGCTAACGCGTGCTTACTCTGAAACAACAGTCCTGAGGACCATGCAGTTCTGGAGGCAGAATATCAACGCAACCCGAAGCCAGATAAGACCGCCCGGGCCAGCATAGTCAGTCGCGTGTCGTTGGGTGAAAAGGAAGTGCAAGTACGTCTCTTGGATAAGATTGAGTCATTAGCACTCCTTTGTTCTGACCATTACTCTCCAACATCATAGATATGGTTTCAAAACCGTCGCCAAAATGATCGTCGGAAGTCGAAACCCCTCCAGCCTCATGAGCTGCTGGCTCCTCGGTCTGACGCGTCGAAACAGAGTTTCAGCGATGAGAGTGTACCTGTGGAGCCAGGCTCTTCTAGTGGGACGGAGCAGTATGACGACCCTAGCAATGAGAACAATGCGGTGACACGGGCTTCGGATAATGATTCTTTCGCGTCGGATATGGTTCGTGGAAGCCAAGAAGAACCCGAGCAGCCCGTCTTGAGTTCCCAGACGAGCGTAGCAACATCAGAAGCCCCAGAAAATAAGGAAGGAACGTACGAAAACTGTCGGTCGGAATTCGAATTGAACCAAGAACGCGCGAGCGTACCAACCGATACACCATACCAGAACTCTGCTAAAAGGAAGCGGTCGATCACGGACCTTCGGCAGGGAAGATCAGAAGCACAGCAACCTTTGACACCATGTGGAGTGCAGAGCATGAGATCACCACCGTCCCTGCGGATATCCTTATCGTTTGACGGAGAAGCTATGGTGAGAAAGGAAGGCGAATTGACTCCATCCCCGCCCAAAGGCCGTAACGCGCTCCGAATTGCCATGTCTTCAGACGGGAAAGCCGTGATCCGTGCCGATGGAGAACCATCGCCATCCAAAAACCGTATTTCAATGTTCCCAACCCGGACCCCTCGATTCACGGGACTTCGGCGAAGCAATAGTGCAGTGGTTCTGGGAACACCAAGAGGATCTATCGAAAGGGAAAGGATCTTTGGACGATCACGCGACCCTCGGAATTGGGAATCGGTCTTCGACACCGATGCCCGGAGTGCATTATCCACCCCATCCAGCTCACAAAGTGGAACACATACAGGATCCCCCGGATTTTTCCGCTCCGGCGGTCCTCGTTCGTTGACACGAAGCCTATCGGCAAAGTATAAGAACACTGCGACATTCAACTCCTCCGAACATCTTAACACACCCGTTCCTCATGCTGCAAGGGAAAAGAGGAGAAAACTGTCGCGCGCGGTTTCGTCGTTGGGCCGTCTCGAATCTGGTCTCGAAGTCCCCAACGATAAAAACACCTCTTACTCAGCGAAATTGTCGAAGAGCATGGCAAGAAAAGGCAATGGAGATATAGAATGCGGTGATTCAGACAAGGAGAACTGGATCCCCGGGACCCAAACGTCTCGTGTCCGCCGACGAGCGGCTTCTCAACATCATTCATCCCGTCCCGTCCTGAGGGATGCTAATGGGAAGGATGGAAAAGTCAACAAGGACCTGACGGCCAGACGCTCCCGACTCTCTCAGGCGTCGCAGCGTAAAGCAAACGAAAACGAGAAAGCTTTGCCAACAGTCGACACCGAAGTGTCTACATTCATGGCTGGTGGGGGTGGTTCCAGCCAGGAAGAAGACCTTGATTGCATCCAGGGCCTCTTATCCTTGAGCCAAGGTGCATGGCGATAGGAACAGAGATACCCGTTTCCTTGTACCATGATCTATTTATTTCCTTTGTTAATTTTCCTTTGTTTCCTATTCATTTCCTTTGTAGTTATGCTCAAGTTGCGAGCGCCAGCAAGCGGTGACTTCATGTATGATCTGTGATGCTCAACCTGTGATGATTGAACTGTGCTTTTTCTTCGTTGCCCAGCCATTGCTTCCAAAGGGATACGATGTCGTCCCTCACGGCTGTGACCACCACCACCTACCAAACATTGATGACGAGACCCTGTCGAATATTAAGATATCCAAACTTAATTCCAGGCTAATAGAGCGATTGAAATGAACGACCAAAATCAAGGATATCATATAATGCGGGCACTGTTGACTACCGTTAGTAAGATTAAAAATAAAATAGTGAGAAGTAAATTAATGACTTCGGCGGCAACAGGAGCCAACGGCAAGTGGCACGTGGCCCGAGCTCTCTACCATCTAAATGAATTAAAAGTACTCTTTCTGTACCTTTATCTACAGTTCCCCTGTTCTATTCCACGTCAGTTTGATGCTCCAGTTATTTCGTCTGCCCTTACATGCGAGTCAGTGTATTTCACCTTTGGTAAGTGGGCAATCTCATCATTGAGATTCTTTTATTTTTTATATGAAATCTATTTGTGAAGGTATACGCCACTTGCATCATGGAGCCTTTCACTGGTATGGATCGTAGGAATGCTGTCTATCTTAACAATGCAGATCAGCCACCCACTTTTCTTCTGTCATGTTTTGTATGCTTTTGTACTTTGAGCTTGTTTCCACCCTCAATCTCCTGCCTTGATTTTAGATTTTCCTGACCCCATCATCGATCAATCTATACAGCTAACTGGAAGATGGCGCAGAAACTCTCGCGCACTTGTACTACTAAATCAGATAATATAGTCTACCCACTGTCGCTACTCTCTCAGAAATCCAATCCTGTATTCCCCGATATCAACATGGGTAAAATTCCACATGTAGCCATTATTGGTGCAGGCTTTTCCGGTCTGAGATGCGCAGATATTCTTATTCAAAATGGCGCGCGAGTGACAATCTTCGAAGCTAGAAACCGAGTTGGAGGGAGGGTATGTACGCGAAAGAGACAAACTTATATGAGTAATAATTTGGTATACTAATACCAAGCAGGTACACCAAAGCAAGGTTGGGAATCGCTTAATCGATCTGTGAGTGCATTGTTTCTCTATTTTCATTCATTTCCTTTAAGACCACTCATGCTGATGATACGAAGTGGTCCTAACTGGATCCATGGCACTGGCACAAATCCAATAGTGGGCATTGCAGAGTTGACAAAAACGACCATAGAGGATTTTGAGGGAAACCAGGCATTGATCTCTATGGATGGAAGCCCCATTAACGACAAGACAGCTACCAAAATCTCAGAGTTCGTGTGGACGACCATTGACGAAGCATTCAAGTACAGTAACGCTTATAAAGATACTATCCCGCCGGAACGAAGTCTGTTCGACTTCTTCCTAGATAAAATCGAGAAAACAGACCTTACTCCAGAAGAGAAGAAATGGTGTATTGAAACCTGCAGATTATGGGGAGCATATGTCGGCGACCCAATCGAAAGGCAAAGTCTGAAGTTCTTCTGCCTGGAAGAATGTATAGATGGCAGTACGTTCTCCACACCGTCACTCACATACAGTACCCTCGACTGACCATCGAATACCAGACAACTACTTTGTAGCCTCCACTTACAAAAGCATACTAGCCCACATCTCCAGGGCCGCTCTGCAACATGCCGATATCCGATTCAACCAACCAATCACCAGCATCCACTCCGACGTCCAACAAGACCTAAACGCCCCTCACAAAACAACATTAACAACCGCCACGGGCGAAACTCACACATTCGACGAAGTGGTAGTAACATGTCCACTGGGCTGGCTAAAGCGTAATAATTCCGCATTCACCCCAGAGCTCCCTGCCCGTCTCGTCCAAGCAATCGACAACATCTCCTATGGCCGCCTAGAGAAAGTCTACATCACATTCCCCCGAGCCTTCTGGCACAAGGACCCCAGTGACCTCACCACCAGCAGAGCCGCAAGTTACAGCGCCTACGAGTGTCCAACCTTCGCACAATTCCTCGATCCCACATACACAAAAGGACCCGAGGGTATCCTCTGGAACCAAGAATGCATATCCTTAGCCGCTCTCCCAGTCAACTGCGCTCATCCAACTCTTCTCTTCTACACTTACGGACCCTGTGCTACTTATATAGTCTCCAAAGTGGCCAACCTCGACCCCTCATCTCAAGACTACTACAATTTCCTCGATGACTTCCTCCGCCCATTCTACTCCCGTCTGCATGGGTATTCGGAGTCATCACCCAATTGTAAACCGCTCGCTGTAATGGCAACCCAATGGCAGAATGATCCATACGCTGGGAATGGGTCGTATTGCAACTTCCAAGTTGGACTTAGTCAGGGCGATCGGGATATCGAGATTCTGCGAGCGGGACTCGGGGCGAATCGTGGGGTGTGGTTTGCTGGAGAGCATACGGCGCCGTTCGTTGCGCTTGGGACGACGACTGGGGCGTACTGGAGTGGTGAGCGTGCTGCTGGACAAATCTGTCAATTGTATAGTCTTGGTAGATTGGGGCTAGGCTTGGAAAGGGATGATTCTTTACCTTCAGCCAGTGGGGAACAGGTCGTCGCTTAAGATATGTGGCGAACAATACCCTTATCCGCCTGATCCGTGGATGCCACATAGATGGATATAGCAGCTTTGCTGCTTTTGGAAGGATGATGTAGGAAATATACTTGAGTATGTACGATTGCCATTGAACAGTCCACGCTATTTACACAATCAAGGGACACACCGCGCAATTTCAAGTTGAGCCATGATGTAAAATATTGTTCCAACAAAATGAAAAGCAACAGGGGAATCACAACAATGACGCTTAACCTCGCTTGATAGATGAAAACAAACTAATAAGATAACACCTCCCGGATGACAAGCCACCCGTACATAATCAGAATGCCTTGCGCCCTGGTGCAACCCACAATATGGAACGGTTCCACTAAGAGCATCAACGAACCTGCGCGCTCTCCATCTCCACATATCCATTTAGTGAGGCACATGAATTGAAAACAATAGACAAGAGTTAGGGACAGTAAAGGGTATTGCGACACCTGAGATGAGCGCCAGAACAAAGAGCAAGTAACAGTTACAAACCGGACAACTTTCAGCAAATCAAAAAGAGTATAATACAGCACCACATGTCAATGCTACCGGCAACAGGGACAATTCTGTTGAGGTAGAGGCTGCTTCGAAGTAGAATAGCAAGTTGGGCGCGGGGCTCAGAAGCGTCGCTGCTTTCATCAGTAGCACAATCCTTACATCGGAGAGTCGAGCTATAAGGTACATCCGAGCCGCAGTTGGTGAACTTAAAAACACAAAATTGAGAACCAATACACCATTAGTTAAAAGCCAAGCACAGCCCATAAATTTGCTTCATTTAGCGTATGTTGCTTGACCATTTGTTAGAAGTTGCGGAGGAAGTCGTTGTTGTCAACAAATCAATCTTCCCAGATCGTTTCCAAGTCGAGGTCTTGACGGCGCTCGGCCCCACAAACACTCCACCGTTTCCGCTTATCAGTCCTGAGGCCATACCCTCCTGTTACGGTTCGCATGTTCATCAGGGAGCTTGAAGGGCCTGACGCGTCTGACGCCCCTCGTCGACGATTTCCGTTCGTCGCAGCATCCGCTTCATCTGCTCTATCAGCCGCAGCTTTCAAGGCAGCGATCCTATCAGCTTCAATAGCCGCGGCTTCGGCATCGGGAATGTCAGGGATAGTCTCTAAAGATGAGATACTCGGACTCCGCGAGCGAAGACTTGTTGGTGTCGAGGGCATTGATGAAGCAGAAGACGTCGAATAGCCGGGAAAGGATTCGTTGAATCTGGAGTTGAGAATTATCGGAGACGAGTGTGCGGAAGAGGGGCTGCTGGCCGACTGAACAGTGGAATTCATCGGGTTAAGATGTAGAGGTGATGACGGTCGTCGGCGGGTCATCCGGGGGAAAGTGTTGGATAGCACAGGCGAGGCTGTGCGAGGTTCTGCCTGCGTTGAAGAGGAAGATGGCATCGCGGTGTCCAGTTCAGCATACTCCAGAATGGGCTCCGAGATGTTCAAGGGTATCATTCTAGACTCTAGGCTGTCCCCCATTGGGACCTGGAATGGTAGATGGCGTTTCGCGGCATTCTCAGGTGAGCTTGTTGGTGCATCGCGACCATGAACGAAGATATACCTGCCCCGTGAGTCCAGTCCCGGGGTAGAGTGAGCGCGCGTCATAGGAGGTAGACCAGATACCTCAGCCAGAGATCGGGACCGAAAATGGGAGCGGGCAAAGGGCGAGCGACTCGGCGAAGGGGCCGGGGGACGTGACAGAGTTATCATGACGTCTTTCTCGCGGTCTTCAGCGGACCCCGGCGCTGTCGGTTCGGGAGAGTCCACCGATTCCACGGGACTAGGGGGTAGTAATATCCCCTCTGGGGATAGATAGTGAGACGTTTCCATATCCGTCTTCGATTCGTTAGTCGGGTTAAATCGGCCTCATGCTGGTTGGAGAGGGTGTACGGGACGAGCGAGAAACAGGGGATAGGGGGAAGGGAGTAAAGTTGAGTGGTGAAGTCAAGACTTTCGAAGTCACGGACTTGAAAAAGAGAGAAGAAGGGGAGGAAAGAGGCGCGGGTGATGGGAAAGGAAAGGCCGCTGCGACCAATGAAATCGCTCATGCCAAACCACAAGAGGTTTAGTTTTCTCCGTGCTCCACCGCCTCCAATATGTATATCAATAATCAGAGGATGGAGATTTTATAACTACCTTTATATATTGGGAGTTATAATCTCTCATATCAGACATCTTTTTTTTTTTCTCTCTCACTTCATACCAAAAATTTTAGATAAAAGTAAACTGAAAATGAAAAGAAATAATTAAGGAATAACCGTACCCTGACGAAAAGCGTTCCGTCTTCCTACGTCCCGAATACCAAGGTGTTCCTTTTTTTTCTCCGCTCACCTCTAACATGCACCTGACCTCATGCCCAATAACCACGTATGGTGGTGATTTCACTTATCCGTTTACCCCAGCCCTTTTGTTGCGCGCTCCAGTCCGGGAGGGATAGCTGTTGTCGTGCGCGTCCTAATATGATATTTTCGGAGATGGACTGAATGACGGAGAAAATACGATAGTATTAACGGATTGAATATAGCAGTTATTGGGTGTGGATCACAGCAAATAGAATCACCTGTTATTTATCTTCTCTCTGCCGTCGAATACAGGAGCTAACATCATGACCAGCAGTGTACGTGGAATGGTGGAATGGACTAGCAAGAAGGTACTAAATAAGTGCATATCTCGACAATTAAATTCAAAAGTGGTGTATGAAGCGGTGTGGAGGGGGGAACTGCTTTGATCTGCGCTTCCAAATAGCTGCATCAGACACAGCCATTCGTTTTATGGGGTAGTCTGCATCAGTGCACTGCTCTTTGAAATATATCTTTGCCTTTAAAATCAACCTGTAGGTGGTAGAAGAATTGGTTTTGGAAGGTCAATCGATGAGAGATATATAGTACGTAGATAGCTCCTAGGAATGCTGTTTAACAAGAACTAGAAAATTATGATCCTGGTCCTAGCATATGGGTCCGTTTCTTGCTAAGTTAACGGACAAAGGCACAAACACATCCGTTAGACGGAACATATAGAAAGGTTGGATGAAAGAAAAGGTAATGAGAGATAAAAGAGCGGCAGCAAGACAGATGATCCAAAGGGCTTCTTATATATCACTATCGTGTGACGTGCGTAAGGGACTACTAGGGTTATTGAGGGTATTAGGAATGGAAAAGGAAAAAGACGGGAAAGAAAAGTAAAACGGAAGGGAAACATGTTCCCAACTTCAAGGTACGTTGTCTCAGTGATGCTCATGCTCCTCATCCTTGCAAACAGTCGAGGCCTTAGGCTCCTGTTTCTCTTCCCGCACTGCCACGTACACTTGTCGTACAATATCGCCTTTATGGCCTCTAAGTGCCCATTGTCCAATTCCTTTTTCTGGAGGGGCTCGCAGAACACCACGACCACCCCCTCCAACGATCAAGTTACCAGGGCGGTAGTCAGCATCCATATACATTCGACGAATTGCAGATATATGGATGTGAGCGTCGTCTGGAATGTCACGAACCTCTCCGCACGGTAGCGGCCACCGGATCGGTTTCCATGATCCATCTTTTTGCAGATCCATTCGACGGAATGGGAGGTACTCCATCATTTTCCATGTGAGAACCGATAGATCTGATATGCCACTGCCGAATTTCAGACAGTCATGGATTGGGGCCTTACAGGACTCCTGGAGTGCCTTCAGAAATGTGGAGTTAGATTCATTTGTGAATTGTTTCTCATCCTTATCCCCGTAAACGGCGGCGACTTGGGCTTTCAGTTCGTTACTTGAAATTGGTGTCAACGGATGACCATCTTGGCCCACACTGATATCAGGGTTCCAGTGCATGGTTTCACGAATGGGTGAGTAATCCTCATCGTAACATTCAAAGTCCTCCATCTTATCAGGGTCAAATTGAAGTCCAGCGCGCTGGGCCTCCTGAACCATCCAAACCAATGGTGCGTGACTGAGTGGCCAATCTTTGGGCCCCTGTTGCCATCCTCCGCCGATATCTGCGTGACCTCCCGGAAACCATACTTCCTGGATGTCCTGGTCCTGATCCTCGTCGTAATCCTCTCCCCCAATACGTTCGTGTGGCACTTGAAGCGAGAGGCCCGATTTCTCACTCTTGATGGATGCTACATCCTCTGTGGACACTGCTGCCATGGGAACAGCCAGACTGAGCTGTCTCTGGGAGCGCCGTCGTCGTGCACGGTATCGATGGCTTGTGCTGTATATACTCTGGTTTGAACTTCGCACACTGTGGTGTACAGATTCAGTCTCCCCGGGCCTCTGTTGAGAGGGGCTATTCTCATTAGTACCTCTGCTGACGACGATTTTGGGGAGACCAAGGGACGTTTTTTGAGGGGACTTTCTTGGAGTATGGTGAAACCGGGGCCAATGGTGTTTCCAGTAGGTAGACTTTTTCTCCTCACAGCACGGTTTGATCTCGGAGATCAGGTCCTGCCGAAATTTGGCACGCCGCTCATCGATCCCCACTGCATGTCGAATGACCTTGGCTGAGCTGCGAGCGGTATATGGGAACTTGCTTCTTTGCATCCACGCGGACTCAAACGCAGGCACACTATTCACAGTATCAAACAGTCCCATGAACTTAATTCTGGGGTCGATTGGTCGACAGAATGTCTCACGGAAGGCCCTCATATAATCAAACAGTTTATCTGTTTCGGCACTATCTTTATGGGTATCACGTCTCATCTGCCATTTGGCAAAGGTTTTCCATGCAAATCGAACGAGTTCCTCATTGCCAGCCTCGAGCAAGCCGATGGAATCCAGCATTTCCGCAAGGAAGCGAGCAATATAGGCACCTCGACTGAAGCCTATGAAGGAAATCTCATCTCCAGGCGTATAATATCGCATGAGGAACTTGTATCCGCCCATGACATGGTCAGCGAAGGAGGATCCGACTGCGGAGTCCTTTGCTTTCAGATATGCGGACCTAATCCGGTGGAAGCGGCCAGAACTGGAAAGGGACTTTGAAGTTACATAAGTTCCAATCCCTGGCTGGTAATAATGAAATTGATTACCTTCGCTGCGATCGAGCATCTGGTTGCAGCATCAGTGACTGATCAGTATATTGGCTTACGGTCTACATAAAACCCTCTGAGTCTCACGATTCTCTGGGTTGGGTCAACTTACTCGAAAAATCTTCAGAACATTACTGTCCGACCTATCCCCGTTAAACCTGTTTCCAGTGCCATCGAAACACAAAACAAATTGTTTTGGCACGGGGGTCAGTCTCAACTCTTCTGCAGCCATGTTCGTCGTTCAGAGCAGAAAAGGGATAGGGAGTGTAGCTTAAGGGAACACCTGCCAGCGCAGTCGACACGTTCAGGTATCTTGGAGGGGGGGGGGGGAAGATGTGGATATACATATATTCGCCGACGGCTAATACTCGCAAGCACATGCGCCTATCCCCGAAAGTATGCCTCTCAGGCCCTATGGGTCGTGGATGTCCAGGAACATGGTGCGGAGGGATGGAGTGTAAAGAGGACGCACCCTGTTTTAGAGCCCGCTGTCTGCATCATAGCCTTGGGTTCGGCCAAATGATACGTCGATGTAAGCCTCCTGAGTGGAGCAAAGAAGGTGGTTGGTCAAAATGTACGAGTAGACACATTCCTCAACTTGCACCAACCCTTACAAGGCTTGTAATGGTGTAAAAATTCATCTGTTTCTCGGGACTACCGCGCATCATACGTCTTGGTTTTCTTTTCTTTTCCTTTGAATTTTCATTGTCTATTTCCTTTTTCCCTTTTTCCTTCTCAGCCTTTCCCCTAAAGCGGGTTGTGCCGGGATGTCAGCTGCAGCGGAAGCCAATAATTAGCAATGATTGGATTTTTCTCAAGCTGCAATGTCATGAGAAGGACAAAAAAAAAAAAAAAGAAAACAAAAGAAAATTGGGAAGAAGAAAGGAGAAAAGGAACGAAAGAGGGGAAATGGTGGATAAACTCAGACAAATGATCGTCTCTTTGCATGACGGCAAGACCCTATCATCAAATGAGATAGCCCGAGATCAGCCAGTCTCGGGGAATGGGAACTGTGATTGATGGCCAAAACCATGGTCAATTTGGTTCGTTGATCTCAAGCGTGAGGTTCAAAAATTTGTAATTGATTACGGAACAGTTCTCGTATGCGACCCGTACGTCAGGGACGATCTTTTCCAGGCATTTCGTCTTGTGGGGATTCGTGGATGGTGGGTCACCTTTAGCGCATACTTTGCAGACTCCGTCTACATTATGTTACATACATACGAGCCTTGCAATACGCAGGTCATATTTGAGTCATTAAGCTACCTCTCACAGTGTCACACCGAATCGCGTGTGTTTTGGGTACGTTGATCTCTGGTTAGCAGAAGCAAGGGATTGATCGAGGGGGGGGGGAAAGAAAGGGGGGAATCTGAGAGGGGAAGGAAAAAGAGAAAAAAGAAAAAGAAGTAGAAGCCATACAAGATACTAAGCAAACAAAAGATTTTCGGTACTGAGACCATTGGTTCTTCATCATAAGTCTCGATAGTCTATGGAGCACACACCGCCATAAGGAGAAATTTTGGACGAAGTTGTTGGTTCATGTGGGGAATCTCTTTGGCCCCAGCCGTCAGGTCCGTCACGAACCATTCGGCAACACCCGGTCGGGCTCCAATGGATTGGTCCCAATGCCCCCCAATGCCGGCGTTCAGCTTGCGTGGGCTGTCAACTCGCTCGAGCTACCAAAAGTGTCAGAAAAACCAACTTAAAATTCTAGATTCCATCTACCTTAGAGCACGTATATATTTCATTGAGGCATGAGAGTGCTATACCACTGGCCTTATAAGGAAAGCAGCAATACATCAATAACTCCTGTAGGGTGAGCAAAGTTAACCTTAATAAAATCACGACAATTCAGACCCTCGCACTGATTAATCTGCACTGCCAGTTTGTATGAAAAGTGGTTAGGAGGTTGGGTGTGTGGATGTGTGAGTGAGAGTTTTTGAAGTTTGAACACGGTCCGCCACGATTTATTAATTTAATAATCTATTTTGTTGCTCTTGTCTAGTATCAACCACAGGGTACTTTGGGAACCTAAGGCTGCAAGGAATTACCTAAACCATCCCTTAATTAAGGACCAAGATTGGTTGTCCACCGACGCTAAGACACGGACTGTCCTCAGATCGATTGGGTTACTACTGTATTGGCGAACACATAGATTTCGTCGATCAAGTTGGTGATCTTCAGATGGTATTGTTACTATCGTACCGTATTGTACCACCCAAAGGTATACTACTACTACTAAGTACGGAGTACTCCGTAGAAGTGCTTCCTACCTGCAGCATGATATGTCAGTCTATAAATGGCCTTGTTCGAAAGCACCTGAAAGTCAAAAATATAATAGGGGAACTAACTTTGTTTTCTTTTCTTTTTTGAATTTTTGACAACCACCTGAACAGGTTTCATCCGTGTGGACTCCGTACCTCTCTTTTTTTTTTTTCCCCCTTTCGACTTTTCTTTTTGACTCCCATTAGCGAGGGTTTACCCACGGGACTCCACCGGGATCACAATACTAACAGAAAGTTAAATGACGATGATCCCGTGTTCGAGCGCGTGGCTACAAATTAGGAATTAGCTATTCTCCATTGGACTCCATCATGACAAGATCATGGCTTGGGCGAGAAAAGTCTGCCGAAAGCCCGTAATGCTCTCGCAAAAAAAAAAAAAAAAAAAAACTATGACACCATTGATCGTGCTTACTCTGTTGTGCCAATGCTTCCACAATGATATAACCTTTCTCACTCAGTCTCGCCAGAGGTCCTTCGTTGCTGACATCGAATGATCTGTACCTACCACTTCATACACTCCGTTTAAGGCTTACACCCTTACTCCGTACATGCTCGGGAACCATCCAAAAAAGATCAAAGTTTGAGATTACGCATGATGTTGATCGGTGAGGGACAGTGGGTATGGGAGGAGCTAGGAAAGTATGTCTCCAGCTGGCGTGCCCACAATACTATGCCACGGAGGACTGATTCATGTTCGTCGGTATCGTGCTCACGGATAGCATGCCCCCCCGCCAATGATTTCGGAGCACTTAGCTTGGAGCTTGGGCCAGTAAAAACAGGGCTCTACAATTGGCAGTCTGGAGCCGAGGTGGAGCCTGCGTTCTTCCAATTTCATGGTTCCACCTTACCATGATTATCAACTTGGCATCTTCGCGATCGCTGCAGATTCCACTTTTGTTTGGTGGCTGGCTACTGTGTACACTTACCACAGTGGACCAAAAGATCAGCTGGCCTGTTCACCAATACAATGATGCTGAATTCCTGTAATGCAAACTCACGATTAAACTTTTCCTATGCCGGTGGGTCGACTGCACGGTACTACAGTGGCCAGCGAAGAATTACTCCATATCTGCCTACAGATCCCTTCCACGACACGGCGTCAATGCGCAGCGTGCGGTGTCCTTGAAGCTGAACAGATAGGAAAAGTGTACCTTGCTCAGTCGAGGAAGCCCCCTTGACTGGCCAATCTGAACATCTCCACTGAGTCCACTCTCGTCCCAGGTCGACAAAAATTGACCAAACATGATCCTTCTTGCGCCACCCACGGGTCTAAACCATATGGTAGGTATTATTACTTGACAGTATCCAAGACGAATTTCAGCTGTGCGATAATTAATCTACCCCTAGACTGATTAATTAGTTTTGCTGTCAATCGGATTCGGCGGCCAAGATCCACCCACAGCTGTGGTAGCGATTTGACTCCATGCTGTGTTGCGCTTTTAAAAGCTACTGCTCCGTACGACGCGACACATGGGAAACTTCTTTTAGCATTTGTCGGTCGAGATTCTCCTCCGCTTTCCATTATTGTTCGCTTCCTTTTATACCCCGCTTCGCGCCTTTGAGTTATTTATCCTGAATCGTTCACATTGCGCATTTGTTCATATACCATAATCATAATGTTGCGGAGATTTTCTACAAATTTCAAAAAGTCAAAGAATGACCGCGAAACCAAGCAAAATGGCGCTCAAAATGGCACCCAGAATGGCACTCAGAACGGCACTCCGGTGAATGGAGACAAGCGGCAGTCCAAAGTGTCACCGGTGCGCAAGTCTGCGGATCAAGAACCAAGCCGCAAGGAAGCCGATGGCGCGTCGGTTTTCGACAAGTATGCGCAAGTCCTCCATGCTTCGCCAACCCCTCTGCCGAACCAGACTGGTGACGGCGCGACGTTTGAACATCGCCATGGTAGTCTCGTACAAGACGTCAAAGCTCTTACCTTCCAAGATGCTTCAACCCTGAAGCAACTGGGCATACAGAAGTTGAAGAATGAGCCCGTTAACGATAAAACGATGTTTATGGAGAAAGTTATCAAAGTAAGATTTGTCAATCATATGGGCGATTTAGTGAGAGAACAGCATTCATTGACAATAATTTGTCTGGGCATAGATGGCTAGTAATCTCCCAGACAACTCGGAGAATCGCACCAAGGCCACAAACCTGTTTCTGAATCAGCTTTGGGACTCTTTACCCCATCCGCCACTCTCGTGAGTATAATTGATGCAAGAATCTGTGGAAGCTTAATTAGAGCGGTGCTAATACAAGCATAGATACGTGGGCCCCGAGTATTCCTACCGATCCGCTGATGGCTCTAACAACAACCCTACCTTGCCGTGGCTGGGTGCTGCCAACACGCCATATGCGAGATCGATCGCTCCCCTTACAATCCAGCCAGGTGGCTTGCCTGACGCGGGCTTGGTGTTTGACTGTCTCTTTGCTCGTGACAAGTTCAACCCTCACCCGAACAAAGTCTCAAGTCTTTTCTTCGACTGGGCCTCTTTGATCATTCACGGTGAGTTCACAATTATGGGTGACACAACGCCATGATTCCATGCTAAGGCTCTGCTAGATATTTTCCAGACTGATCCGAGGAACCCCCATATTAACAAAACTTCGGGTTATTTGGACCTCTCTATCTTATACGGTGATGTTCAAGAAGAGCAAGACTTGATCCGTACCCATAAAGATGGCAAACTGAAGCCTGATTCATTTTCCGAGCCCCGACTTCAGGCTTTCCCTGCTGCCTGCTGCGTTATGCTAGTGATGCTGAATAGGTTCCACAACTATGTGGTAGAACAATTGGCCGAAGTCAATGAAAACGGTCGTTTCACCAAGCCCAGGCCTACCCTTAACGAAGAGCAGGCCAAGAAGGCATGGGCGAAATACGATGAAGATCTCTTCCAGACAGGTCGCTTGTATGTTCATCTTATGTCCCACAGATTAAGAGCTGTTCTAACCTACCGCAGAATCACGTGTGGTTTGTATATCAATATTACCTTATATGATTACCTGCGTACGATCGTCAACTTGAACAGAGTTAACAGCACGTGGTGTCTGGTGAGTCGGCACTCCTGTTTGATGCTGCGAGGAGAACTAATCACAAACAGGATCCACGAGCGCAAATGGAGGGCAACGATCCCACACCATCTGGCCTGGGTAACCAATGCTCTGTCGAGTTCAACCTTGCCTATCGCTGGCATTCTGCGATCAGCGCCAACGACGAGAAATGGACCGAACAGATCTATGAGGAGCTGATGGGAAAGCCCGCCGAGGAGGTTACAGTCAGAGACCTTAAAATGGGACTTGGCAAGTACGCCATGGGCCTTTCGAAGGACCCTTCGCAGCGTACCTTTGCCCATCTCCAACGTCAAGAGGATGGCACTTTCAAGGACGAAGAACTCGTAAACATCCTTGCCAATGCAATCGAGGACGTTGCCGGTGAGTTCCCTACACAACAATAAGTGCTGAACCAACAAACTAAGTGTCTTTCAATAGGATCATTTGGCGCTCGTAACGTGCCCAAGTGCCTCCGAGCAGTCGAGATTATGGGTATTGATCAGGCACGTAGCTGGAATGTTGGCTCCCTTAACGAATTTCGCAAGTTCTTTGACTTGAAGCCGTATGAGAGGTTTGAGGATATCAATTCCAATGAGGAAGTTGCAGAGGCCCTCCGTCATCTATACGGCCACCCAGACTTCGTGGAACTCTACCCCGGTATTGTTGCTGAGGAGGCCAAGGAACCTATGGTGCCCGGTGTTGGAATTGCTCCTACATATACGATCTCTCGTGCGGTTCTGTCTGACGCTGTGGCTCTCGTCCGGGGTGATCGGTTCTACACTGTAAGTTCGTCCTTCCCAGGAGATAATGATACTGTTTGCCTAACGTGTGCTATAGGTCGATTACAACCCCAGGAACCTGACTAACTGGGGATACAATGAGGTTCGTTACGACCTGAACGTCAACCAGGGATGTGTCTTCTACAAGCTTGCGACCAGAGCCTTCCCGAATTGGTTCAAGCCTGATTCCATCTATGCTCATTATCCCATGACCATCCCCAGCGAGAACAGGAACATTATGAAGGATCTGGGTAGGGAGTCTCACTTTTCTTACGAACGCCCATCCTTTACCCCTTCCCCTGTGAACCTGGTATCCTATCCTAATGTCAAGCTGGCTTTGGAACGGGAAGAGGACTTCCGCGTGGTCTGGAACGGCATTACCCCCCTCGCCTCTGCCAAAGGCGGCGATGATTTCTGGAGTAAATCATTGAACAATGACCAGTGGCGTAACAGCATCAAGGAATTTTATGAAGACATCACTGCCAAGCTTTTACAAGAAAAGTCTGGAAATCTTGCGGGAATCAAGCAAGTTGATATCACACGGGAGTAAGCTACCTTGATTAACATTACGGCCGCAGTACAAGAGCTGATCATGCCCGTAGTATTGGAAACCTAGCGCCTGTTCACTTTGCATCGAAACTGTTCTCCCTTCCGTTGAAGACTAAGGAGAATTCGCGCGGAGTCTTTACCGACAACGAGACCTTCATGAGTATGGCAGTAATCTTTACTAGCATTTTCTTCGATGTCGATGAGGCCAAGTCTTTCTCTCTTCATCACGCGGCTCGCGCGGTCTCTCAGCAGCTGGGCCACTCCGTTGAGAGCCACATCAAATCTATCAACTCTCCTGGTTTCCTCAGCGGCATCATTGGCAATCGCCGTAATGATCACAACGCCTTGAAGGAATACGGTGATCAATTGATCAAAAAGCTTCTAGAAAGTGGCTTGGGTGTTTCCGATGTCGCCTATTCTCAGGTTCTACCAGCGGCTGTGGCGATGGTCCACAACCAGGCTCAAATGGTAAGCCCCATCTATTCTTGTTTCGGTGCTTGCTGTTGACACCTTTGAACAGTTCACTCAAATCATCGACTATTATCTTTCTGAGGGCAAGAAGCACCTCCCTGAGATTAACCGCCTTGCCAAGGAGGACAGCAAAGATGCCGAAGACAAGCTGATGCGCTACTGCCTGGAAGGGTTCCGTCTGAATGGCACATTTGGATCCTATCGCGAAGCTCAGACTGACTTCAGCATGAGTGATGAGACCGGAGATGTCAACATCAAACACGGTGACAGGGTATTCGTTGGTGCTGTAAGTGTCTTCTCGATAAATATTGTCCCGCAAAGCTCGCAGCAGTGGCATGACTAACATCCAACAGGTCAAAGCCAACCGTGATCCTCAGGTCTTCCCAGATCCCAATGAAGTGCATTTGGACCGTCCTCTGGAATCCTACATCCAGTACGGCCTTGGTCCACATACTGGCTTGGGCAAGGAAACGACCTTGCTTGCATTGACGTCCATGTTACGTGTTGTCGGCGGCTTGGACAACCTTCGGCGTGCACCCGGCCCCCAGGGTGAGCTGAAGAAGATCCACCGTGAGGGTGGTTACTACGTCTACCTGCGTGAGGATTGGGGAAGCTACTCTCCATTCCCAACGAGTAAGTTGTCCCTGGTACAGCTCCTGGTGTGCTAGGTAGGAAACTAACCTCTGCCCACTCTGTAGCCTTCAAGGTCCACTTCGATGGTGCAATTCCCGCTCCCAAGAAGCGCCTCACCTCCTAAACAACCGATATTTAGGAAATTGATCTAATCGTCGAGACTGAATAACGTGTGATATTGTATTCGAAAATGGTTTTGCGAGATATCCTTGTTCTGTTTGAACTTGTATGCTTTTATGTTTAGTTGATATTGACCCTATAATTATATACTACAAATGTAGCAACAATGTTAGTTCCTTGTTTTTGCCACGCAAAACTGATTACAAAGCTGGTTCTGATTTTGTTAAACGTGTTCGCTGTATATCATTGGAGCTGTTTCTTGGCCTTTATGTTATTTTCTGTAGTCCTGTCCTAGCCGTAGCTGGTCGCTGTTCGGTCGTCTGTTTGCCCATCTCTCTCTCTTCCAAGACCAAAATCCTTGTATAACATTGATTCAAGACCCCAGTTCGAGCCACACCAGGCTCGGACTCATCATCTATGTCGAGCGTAGTCATACCCGACAAGGTAAATGCCATATCCTCTTTCCGTCTCTCTAAGCAAACCTAATACATTCCTAGTCCAACGACTCCTTCACGGGTACGATCTCAATCCCCCAAGCATGACTCAACCCTAATCGTGCAACATCTCACCGACAGCTCGCCTTCAAATTATCTTCACCCAAACGAACACCTCCCATCCAGTCCTGGGAGATTGAGCCAACCTCACCATCTGACAGGTAAATTTGACACCCTCTGGCCATGACAGGTTACATATCGTAATACATAGAGCTTCCAAACTCCCGATTACGGTATCATGCCACCCAAGTCAGCTTAATATAGACTGCATATCTAGCGCCGGCTTTCCTCCCCACCGAACATTGGGGTATCGAACTTGAAATATGACAGGCGGCGTAGTTGGGCATTTTAATATGACGTGTCTTGTCCTGAGGAGTATCTTTATTTTATTTCATTTTTCTTTTTACTTTTCTTTGTCTTTTCCTTCTGGGTTGTTCCCCCTGTACTATTGCTTTACCTAATAACCAGAGGAAAAGGTTGTGGTTCCAAAGAGCAAGCGGATTTATATTTAAAAATTGAAGCTAGTTGGTTACTATTGTTTTATAGTTGGATAGTAGCTCGGATTTCTTTCCCGATGTTATCCGTTGTCTTTTTTTGTATTTCGTATTCTGGACGGTGGGTCATTTAATATAAGTATAAGCACTCTGTACTTGGATATTTATGAGTCTTTGAGAAGTGAAACTAGTAAAGTACTAACTGTACTCCGGAGTAAGTCAGACTTCATGGGGTTGATAATTGTTGCCTTACAATAGGGTGATTGATAGGTCCAGCTGCAGGGGTGGTCGCTCATGTTTGCTAGTGCCAAGAATGGTGGTGGGGGTGGAAATAATCAATAAATGATCGGGAATTTTTTGTGAGGGCTGATCCAAATCAAGCGGGGGCCAATTCTTCTTTCAGGGCTGGTGCTTGTTCAGTCGTCAAATCTCGAATGGTTTCGCAGATTTAGGGTTCCCAGCTCACTATTATGTCAATATCATACATTTCTGGATTAAATCTGATTGGGAACGCACTGTCTAATTTACTAACCATCCTATATGGTTTTTCAACCACGAACAAGCGCATCTGGTACAAATATAAGGGGGTAAAGGACACTTGTAGAAACCCCTCCCCCTTTTATCTCATCAACAATGGCCCTGAAGCTTCCACTAGCGCGAATTAGGTAGTAGGAACCGCCTTCCCAAATAGCCTTAGTCCACAAAGCGGAGACAATAAAACCCCACCGCCTAAGCTCCAGAGCGGAAATTGTTCCGGAGCTATTCACCGCCCGACAATCAACCTTTTGTTTTGTATTAACGCATCGGCTCAGAAAAGCATCGACAACATCCACCATTGAATCCAGTCAATCAAAAACTGACAACCACGTAACCAACCCAAAATGCCCCCCAAAGCCGCCAAGGGCGAATACATTGAAACAGTGCGTCTCCGTAACTCAATTTCTCCCCCTCCCCTTCCCCCAAACCCCACAATTCAAGTTCACCCACTAACCACTAACCCATGGGCCACAACAAATATAGGACACAGGGAATAAAATCTCCCGCCGGTCTCAAATTCACGGGACACAGCATATCATCCTCGGTGGTAAAACGGTTATTCAGGGTGAGGCTGTCATTCGGGGCGACCTCTACCGTACATCCACTAGTTCCAGTGCGAGCGGCGACCAGGGAGGACAACAACAGCCGGCGACGTCGACGCCGTCCGTCGCGATTACGATCGGGCGCTATAGTTATATCTCGAAGCAAGCTATACTAAGGCCCCCGTCAAGATTACATCGGGGCGTGCATTCGTTTTATCCGCTGAAGATTGGTGATCATGTTTTTGTGGGGGAGAGGGCGGTTGTTGAGGCGGCTAGTGTGGGGAACCATGTCCATGTGGGGAGGGATGCGGTGATTGGGAGTATGGCTATCTTGAAGGATTTTGCATATGTGCTTGATGGGGCGGTTGTCGCGCCGGGCATGGTGGTGCCGAGTTGGTGTGTGGTTGGTGGTGCACCGGCGAGGATTGTCGGGGAGGTTGGTGAGGGGTATGGGGTTGAGGGAGCCGAGGGGGGTATGGCCAGGGAAAGGTACCGGTTGGTCGGGAGGTAGAGATGGTTGGGTTTGATGTGTGACGCTTGTTCTTTGGTCCCTTGTCTTTTGGTGTTGTTATTATACCCCCCCTTGTTTTAGAGTGTTCCTATATAGATTTACATTTGTATTGTTTAGCTACATCTTGTTTATTTCTTGAGGTTTCATACATTCCAAAAGGCACAAAATGACCTCTAGACTACCTGACGCCCACGAGTGGAGATTCGTTCACGATCATTAATATCTACTATCCTTCTAAACCAGAACATATCGGCCTAGTTTTGGTGTCCGTTCACGTCATTCTGAGGACAAAGCTCCCGCACCAATCTGCTTTCATCGCTTGTGTACTCTTGGCCCGCCTCGGCGCGAGCCATGTCGTTGATCCATCGCTCGTTCGGCTTAATCTCTTTGGACTTGGACAGCTTCGAAGCCATGTAAAGCCAATTCAGTGCGTTGCCGACGGTGCTCACTTCGTCGCACACATTGTTGAGCGCGAACTTGTGCATGCGCTCGTACAGCTCATCGTCTGTGCAAAGGTCCAACAAATGCTGGGCCACCGCGTCGGTGTCCCCCACCTCCACAAGGAAGCCGTTCTGTCTGTCAGCCACTTGAAGGGGAATCCCACCAGCCCTGGTTGCGATGACTGGTGTTCCTTTGTGAATAGCTTCGGACACTTTAACTTCGAATCCCTCCTGCGTGGACAGTTGAAGAGCCACCTTAGCCTTAGAGAGTAGGGCATTCAGCAGTTGATCTGAAGGACCCAGTCGCACAACGCAAATCTGCTCTGCGAGGTCCGGGAGGTTCTCCTCGATATGTGTGACTACGGCGTCGTAAATCACCGTGCCATCTGGATCATCAACAGAGCCGTGGCCACAGATCAACAGCTTGGGAGCCCGTCTGTCGGGAAACGCAGCTGTGAACCGCCGATGGAATTTGACGTACGATTCCACAACCTCTGGAATGCCCTTCGACGGATCAAAGCGTGCAATTTGAGCGATGTATTCATCTGTTTCCATATCGTTGTATATCAGTCCACAAGGTTCCAATACAACCGTGCTGCGTGGGTGACAAGTAACGCACCTTCAGGGTAGTCGATAGTGGGCATGCCCGAGTTTCTGCAGGATGAATTGAAAACCCGGCCATAATAGGCAATGTCCCATTCTCGCATGTTCTTGTTCAGACCATCCAACCTAAAAGGGCTTGTCAGTCACACCTTCCAGTGGCACTAGATCGGTACTGCCTTACCAGTCCGTCGACGCAGGCATATATCCCACCTTCTCCCGGGGTACGTTCTTAGGTACAAAGGACTTCACGGGGTGGCTAATGTAGATATCTGCCAGTTTGATGGATTCCCAGAGCCGCCCCCAAGCTTCTGCCTGCGGGGTCCCCGGTTTGTCAATCAAGTCACTGCGAAGTTGGATGTGACTGCGGAAGATAACTGGTCGGTCTGGGGCCATTTGCTTCGCAATGGGAATCAACGCTGGCATCTGTGGGTCATCAATAATCACCACGTCGGCTCCTCCGTCCTTGGGGTGTTGCAGAGGGCCTCCAGGGATCAACCAGTATCTCTTCGCATTCTCATTGACCCACTCCGTTACCTGTGCCCAGTCCTCCTCGCTCAACCGCTCCTCGGGGGAAGCGACACCTTGCAAAATGTTGTGGTTGTTTTTGGTTACACGGAAGACGCCCGGCCGTGGCTTGGGCACGTACCTAGGCCCCAGGGTCAGTTGACGCCCGGCTGCCACCGCAGAAAGCCAAGTAATTTATGATTGAGCCTTACCATGTGATATCGGTTCCCAAGGAATACGAGAATCTCACGAGAGAATGTCTCATGAGGGCTACACCTCCACCTTGAGGGGTGGCGCTGAAAAAGGCAATTTTGGTCTTTCTTTCCTTGAGGTCGTTCGCATAATGTTGAACAGCCTTCCAGGTCTTGGGGTAAACTGTCTTCTGAAAATCCTCCAGGTTGGTCAAGCGCACATGGAATGCCGTGTCGACCTCTACTATACCAAGGAAGCCAACCTGAAGCAGGGGGATATTCTCTGGACCAAACAAACTAGACAGCACTTCAGTTTATGTCATATCACGTTAGAATTGATTTGATCTTACCGAACACATTTACGGCCCATTGATTCGGCCTGTTCATCAATGCCTCTAATCTTCCAGGTTGTGGTGTCAGGAATGCCGAACGTGAACTTGTCATCACCCTCCCTTCTACTTCCTTCGGGGAGGACTAGAGGTATGATATCAAGGTCAGCCCAGAGCCTCGAGCACAGGCTGGGGCATTGTTTCGCGATGCGCTCTGGCATTGCTAAACCGATGAACTTCTCCATATGAGCGTCACTCCATTCTTGCAATTGGTCTATCACGAATTTCTCCAGCACGGAGCATAACGACTGATCATCTTTTAGGGAGAGCGATTCTTGAATGAAGTCTAGGAGGTAGGTGGTATCGCGAATGGCGATTGCAATTGTCACTGTTCCGTCCTCGAGTAACGTCGATAGACCAGCGTAGATGGTCTGGTGAGACGAAGAAGTTAGGGCTTGCAAAGCTCAACCGATGAAACAGATATACTTACCCCAGAGGGAGGTGCGGCCCAGGAATTGTTCTCATACTGTAAGGAGAGACGACGCTGCTGACGCAGAGACGAGCGGCGACGTAATATGGCGTTCGAATCGTCCGCCATTGCTCACTCAATTAATTGTGAATACTATAGTTGAACAACAATGGATGCAGTAGGAAATGGTTTTATGAAGAGAATGGAAGACTGTGGTAATTGTCCAACGAGAACAGGGTATACTAGATAAGCTACATATATATATATAGAAGAAATGATGATTCAAACCTCATGCCACAGGACTTTTTTTGCTTTGTTTGCTGTCCAAAAAGCTGGGGTGAATTGAAATTGGGATTGGGCGGTCCGGTGACCTCATGATTCTCGGGCCATGACGTACAAAGTACAACATCGCCCGTGACAGGCATCAATCAAGAATAACATTTTCCGAAGTACGAGTACACACGCACATGTTCATTGGAACACGCAAGTCTCTCTAAAGACGCCTCACGAGAGGTAGGGAGTAAAAATCAGAAACACAAGCCGACAAGGTCCCGCATGAAAAGTCAGGGAAGGTCACACCATGGAGACCAGACGTGGTTGCACCCGACGGAAAGGGAACAACTTCGGAGCTTTGAAAGGCGTGAGTGGTATGAGTATGTACATACAAAGTACTGAGTATGTACAACCAGGATCCAAGCACCTTGATCTCAGTCTCTCGATTCGTGAAGTCACAATGCCAATGAGGAAGATACCGGGGAGGGGAAACAGGGGCCGTGGGGCCATGGAACCGGCACTATTGCCATCACGATGAACATGAACTGCTTACGGGTGAAACAACCGAGATGCTTGGCAGGAATCGCGGGGCTTAGTCATGCGGCAGCCCCTTTTACGGAGTCCGAGTTGAATTACCCAGCGCGCAGACCCTCGTCGCTGCTCCTCGTGTGGATCGTCGCCTCTTGAAACTCTGGGCCCAATTAATTAAACTATTCATTTCACTTTCGCTCTTTCTGCCACATTCACTCTTTTCTTTTCTATCGTTACATTTTGGTTCAGCCTGTGTTTTGCTTTTTCCTTCTTTCGTTTTTTTCTTCACCTCTTTCCTTTTTCTCTTCTTCTTCTGCCCACCTCCCCTTCGCCGACAAGGTAAGTTCGGTTTGTCTCTTGTTCACCTTGCGTCCCCTCCTGCGACGGTCTTGATTGAGATCGCCTTGGTTGACGTGGAGATTGACAGGACGGAGTAATTGACCTTACAGCGGGATCTCTCACGCTTTTCCCCTGCTCGTGTTCAACCGCAATTGAAACCTGGTCCCAATTCCGATCGCAAACACGATCGAGGACTTCTGCGCTCAATCAACAGTAGCACTACCTCGCTTTTACGCCTTTTATTATTATCGGTGACCTCAGGAGTTAACAACCCCTCGTCAAAATGGGTGGTCAAGTTTCCAAGTTAATGGGGAAGATCTTCGGGACGAAGGAAATGCGGATTCTGATGTTGGGTTTGGATGCTGCTGGAAAGACCAGTAAGTCTGCGCCCCTGAATCGGGTCACCTCGCTGTGTGTTATGGAAAAGATTAGGGAAGCTGATGGGCGCGTGAAACAGCAATCTTGTACAAACTGAAACTCACGAACCAGGAGGTCACTACCATCCCCACTGTCGGGTTTAATGTCGAAAGTGTAACCTACAAGAATGTCAAGTTCAATGTGTGGGATGTCGGTGGCCAGGACAAGATCCGGCCACTATGGAGACACTACTATTCCGGTATGGCCCATCGCAATCCACTCGGTTATTTCAGCCAGCGAGGATTAACGCTGACCTTGTCGGTATTTATTGTAGGAACGCAAGGCTTGATCTTCGTCGTTGACTCCAGCGACACGGCCCGGATGGAGGAGGCTCGTTCCGAGCTTCACAAGATCATCAACGATCGCGAAATGAAGGACGCCCTTCTCCTAGTTTTCGCGAACAAACAAGATATTCAAGGCCGTACGTATCTCAAGAACCGCTAGGACGTTATGCCCACTAACTTGATACCCGCAGATATGAGCCCCGAAGACGTCACCAATGCACTCCAACTCAATAAGCTGAAGGACAAGCTATGGTATGTCGCGCCTAGCGTTGCTACCGAGGGTACTGGTATCTTCGAAGGACTTGTAAGTTTCCCCTCCCCGCTCCTCATTGGCCCTATCAATCTTTGACATGGAATCTCTCGCAGGCTTGGCTTTCCAACAACGTGAAAACACCAGCCCAGAAATAATTCCATTCGCGCCGCCCATCGTTGGCAGTGTAAATCTAGGGACCCCAATTGCATGGCTCTCGTGTATAACATTTCCTTATCTCGTTCGGCCTCTCTCGTTCATGTCCGCTTTGATGACAGAAGACGCAGCATTTGCAGTATGTTTACATTTCACTTCGTGCGCATGCTTTGCCCATCTCTTGATCTTCTTTTCATTTCCTTACATTTTCATGATATCCCTCACTGTTTCTATGCGGGCCATTTATATACTTTTTTTTTTAATTAATACTTCTCCCCCTTACTGTCGACTGCCTCTTTCCTCTCGACGCATTGCTTTTGCATTGTATAGAAAATTTTTGAATACAGAAAGAAATTCAGACCAACATACACAAGGAACTTGTTATACCCACGCCAGCAATCCACTGTTAAAAATACATACAATCACATGTACACTGACAACGAAGCCTTAACCCCGGTACCGAAGCCCGACGAAGGACCCCGATGCTACCTAGGTCTCAAAAAGTCGCATCTACTACTAAGCTTCACAACGGCTGCCCATATATCGAAAGCCAAGCCATAATTTAGCCTATATGCAAGGATGGGCGGGAGCTATTGAAACCTTCTAGTATATACTAACCAAAAGTAATCAAAATTACCGACCTCTTATTCACATAACGAATCAAACTGACCCCGTCTTCAAATTACGCCCTGTTATAGAAAACCATCGCATTCAGACGAGCAATAGAAACCACCTACCTCACCGGCAAGCCACTGCCCCATACAAAGAGGGCGAGACGGCATAATGAATGGATGGGGTTGCTATCTGGGAATGTGAACTTGACGTCGGTGGCACAAGCCCTCACCATCCAAGTAGGTCTGCCACTCGTAGTCTTTAGCAGAGGTATTTCCAAAGCGCCCGATTCTTATAACCTGTAAAAGATGTCAATTATCACCCACACATCCCAAACAAGACAATTCATTAACCGTCAAGCCAAATATCTCGAACATCAACCGAGAAAACGCCCTCAGAAGACACGTCAGGGTAGCGAGGTTCGGTAGGAGACAAGGGAATCGATCCTAAAGAGAATTTGCCTGGAACAGAGAAGGATGGCTTCTAACGGGTTCTGCAAAATATCCTACAACTGGCCCGGCTATTGTGCTGGATCCCACGGGACGTGAGTACAATGTAGGCTATTGCTTTTGAGGAACCTTGCTCACTCAAGTCCCCAAAGAAAGGAAACAATGAAACAAAGCCTCTCGTCATAGAGCAAATGCCTCTAAGCTCTATTTCGGTCGGTGGATGGAAGGACTCGATCATGGAGTCAGTATATCGGTAGGTACTGATCCACGTCACTGAGTAGACCTGTCATTGAAGTAGTTTAGAACAACTACGAGGGGGTCTACAACGTATAGTACTGGTACCTACGATCACCGGATTATAGGCTTTTGAGTGGAGATTGTGGACGACTCTCCATTTCAATCTAGGGTGTAGTAATGCAATGCCATAAAGGGACATCCAGTATGTGTGAGTTGCACAATCCTCTCCGCCTTTAACAAATTAACAATCCTAAATGCTATCGGGGGTTCTGGTCGGTTACGAGTCGTCAAACCTTTCCAGATCCATTAACGCTAAATCGAAGGTTGGTTTCGGAAATCCAGACTGCAGGGTCGCATGGCTGGACACATGATAACCCGAAGGGCCCTGCAGGAACGGCGAAGACCAGCCCTGACAAGCCTGACTGCTGATAGCGTGATTGACTTTAGACCTACTAGTTGGGGATGTACAGATGGTTGCTTTGACGTTTTGGGCCTCCAAGGTCCTCTGATTTCGACTACTATATTAACCGCCGAGCAAGAACATTGGAATTTGTGAACTGAGTTGAATCATTTATTATTGATCAAGTGATCAGGTATATACATATCCAGAACTGAACCCAGTATTCCCAATCAGATACATTGGCCAGTTTTCTGTACAAAGACATAACTTCGTCACGTTCATACACACAAATACGTCGCCGGTCACCCAGCCCGAGTGTGTCTCATTGTTGAAAATCGACATCAAACGACAACCATACCTACTTAAAGCTGACCAGGCCAGATGTCATTGGCAATTTCCCGGACAAGCTTCAGCTTGGCGATCATGCCGTTTCGGTCAATGGCATTGCCTTCTCTGTGACTAGCAAAGCCACACTGTGGGCTAACACCGACCTGCTTCAATGCCTCCTCAACGGAGATCTTGTTGCCTTCCGCGATGAATTTGGCGGCGTCGTAGACGCGCTTCTTCATTTCTTCCTTGTCCTCGAGCTCGGGGAACTTGCTGGTCACGACACCGAGAATGACATTCTTGTGCGTGGGAAGTTCCTTCAGTGGCTCGAAACCACCGGCGCGAGGGGTGTCGTACTCGAGGTAGTATGTGTCGACATTGAGCTCCTTGAACAGCTTGGTTGCAATGCGGTCATATCCGCCTTCAGAGAAGTGACGGCTACCGACGAAGTTACCACGGCAAATGTGTACACCGATGTGGAAATCGGCGGGGCGCTTGGAAAGCAGATCGTTGTACAACTTGACGTACTTCTCGAACGTCTCATCGGCTGTGATCACGTTCAATGGGTCTGCTTCCCAGCCCGCAAGCATCTTGTCAGAGCAGAAGTCTGTCGGCATTGTCAGAAAACTCTTCGCTATTCGACATAGGAACGGTTATGAAAAGACGACTCACAGGCAAGGTTAGGGTCATCAAACTGAACATTCCTGCAGCCAGCGTCATACAAGATCTGGAGCTCATCCTGGTATGCCTTGGCGATGTCCGCAAAGTACTCGTCATCGGAGGCATACACATCCTTCGGGTAGGCCTTGCCCTCCTTATAGCGCAAATGATACCAGTTCGGAGCAGCAAGGGTGAGTTTGATGTTCTTTACCTCCTCTGGGGGAACGACGCTCGCCATATACTTGAACTCGTCGACATAGGTACTACCGACGTGCTTGATTTTGCCAGTACAGATGACACTCTCACCAGGCTTGTGTCCAGCTTCAAGGAAAGCAGCGACATCGGGAGCATAGGGACGGAAAACATCGGCATCAATGTCTGTGACTTCCTCAAAACCATCAAGTCCAGGGAAGAAAGACCCCCAGAACACTAGATACAAGGTAAACCGTTAGCATCATGCCCCACTACACAAACAACCAAGCCCTTCCTTACTGTGTCTGCGGTATTCTCCATCCGAGACGGCGGCATAGCCAAGCTTCTTCTGAGTTTCAGCGATCTCCTTGATATCCTTGTTTTCGATAGCGGAAAGCTCGGCCTGAGAGACCTGCCCCTGCTCGAAAGCTGTCTTTGTCTTCAACAGTTCATCGGTACGAAGGAGCGAACCAAGGTGTTCAGCACGGAAAGGGGGGTTGTGGTGAAGCTGATGGGCCATATTGAAGAGTCCTGAGTCTGTCAATAAATATCGAGGTGCTACCAAGTGTCTCTTGACGTGGCACCTGTTATCGAACGTAGTGATTGCGCGGGGTTTTCGAAAGACAGGCTTGACAGTTGCAGGGAGGGAATGATTAAAACAGAGAGGGGCCACCGAACTCGGACCTAAGCAAAGTAATTCTATTTCACATCGATTCGCCTTCTCCGCGGCTTGAAACTTTCACTAACTGCCGAGTGCTTTCACGTCCTCTGAAGTGCCCCACCGCAGAGGCTCTCTCCACATCCTGACTCGGGGAGGAGGGAGTGGAACTGTGGAAGAGATACTACTGCCATGATAGGTCTGTTGGAAGTACAAAGAGGATGGCATGAGAGTCGTGACCCTTGACATCATGTCAGTGGGAGATTCCTGGTTGATGAGAAGGAGATAGTAGATTGACGGGCCGGGATATACTACATGGGAGGTAAAAGATAGATGAGGCGAAAGATCTAAAGATTAGATGTGGGTGGGTTTGACTAAGTTCTTGATAACCATGGTATCATCCACGTTACCAATTATTGCCCTAGTGGAATAGTTTCCGACTTTTGCCTCTTCCTCGATAACTAAGTGACTGACTGATCCACCAACAGTAATTGTTCTATTGACAGTAAATAGGATATACATTCAAACAACAGACTCTATGGAGTACTAGTCCTATCGAGAGAGGATTTCAAGTCCAGTCAGGTCCTCTTGGCGTTAAATACTTGGCGCGGACGCTAAAAGAGACCAACAATGGGAATGTGGGGTCGTTTGTCCCAATCCAGCAGGGGGTTTTACCGCCACGGGCAGTTCGACAGAGTTCCTTGCATAACTTCCTCAATGATATTCGTACGTACTACTTCCATGTCGCCTTGGTAGAATTCAGTCTTTGTTACTTAATACGAATCATCCTTAACTACTAAACCTTTTCAAAGAGTTTCAAAGTGTGTTACCGGTGAGTCTATTGCGATTTTGAAACTGTTTTCCCTATAACCTTTGGAAGGATTGGCGGAGCTCGTGTGACGTATGTGGGGTCGCCACGGCAGTTGATGTCGGCCTCCTTTCCCGACCCATCATACACAGTATATGACCTCCATCGTATCTCTTAGTACGGAGTATGCCACGGAGATTGAAACAGTACAGATCAATTACCCTACCTAGTCGATGGAAGCCCTAGCAGCTACCGTCAAGATGTGATATGTGATATGTGATGGTCATGGAACACTAATCTCCTCTTGCAGGATATGCCGCATGCGATAATGATCCCTCAAGGATCATCATTGGAAGCTCTGCCAAATGAGCTCCTTGACGAGATTATCTCCAATCTTTCAGATCCACCCCCTTCATTAGCCAGGCTACATCAACCGCCAAGCAGTAATATCGTCAAGTCGGGTATCCGAGATCTGAAGAACCTCTCATGCACCTCTTCCCGTTTGCTCGAGGTCACACGACCACGATTATTTACTCACGTTTGCTTCGATCTACGGGATGTAGATGAGTTTCTCTCCTTTATATCCGCTACAAGCCTAGCTCGACATGTAAGTTCCGCCGTGGTCAAAGGGCGACACCCCTCGGATGATCGAGAGGATCCATTCTGGTGGCGCCGGGCATTGTCCTATCTCGATCCGCAGCGCATCACAGTCATTGCACCGCCGTCGTGTATTGGCAAGATGACAGGCGCGCAGGTATCCGAGGAACACAGTTGGGCTTTCCAAGCCCCACTTCAAATCTTGCAGTTAGAGCAGGACACTAGAAGCTTTGACCCTCCACTACTTACTCATCTTGAAAAGCGCTCAACGCTGCTTGAAGCTCGATCATGGTCCTCCCTGCTGTTCAACGAGTCCTCCTCTCTCAAGGCTTATAATCACTATGAATACTTCCTGTTTAAGGTTCCTTCACTGTTCAGCACATGGGGCTCATTAGCATACGTTAGGCCTCGCCCACAAAGGTTAATCTCGTCCCCCGCGCTCAGCAAATTGACATCCTTTCGGTACACCGCCGTATTCCCGTTCTATAATCATGTCAAATTGGTCTTAAACGCAGTGGAGCTGATGGAGAATTTACGGTCATTGAGTGTCCAGTTAGCACCATGTGAGGGCGACAAGGCTACCGAGCTAGAACAAAGGGGGTCTATGGACCCTAGTGACCCTTGGATGGAAATTACTACAGGTTATTCACTTATCGGGCATTCTGTAAGTGACATGGGCAACAGAGGCAGCCTTGCTGAGTTCTGTGCCTGCGACTATGCACTCGGCCCTTTACGGACTGAGTTATGTCCCATACTGGAAGATATCCTAGGTGGTAGTGAATGGGCCCACGATGGCCAAGGGACTTGGACTAAGAAGAGCATATGTTCTGCTGCTTGTGCGCCAGCAACAGTGGAATCTATTGTGCGAACAGCCGTTGCTTAACACGATGTCGGCTTTCAAGGCACGCTGGGTTTGAGTAATCGGGATTCTTAAGAACCGTAATGACGGGTCTTTAATTAGGAAAATGCGTTGTATAAAGAAATATATACAAGGTTAGGGAGAATTGCATATATACAAGTCCGAAATGGCCAATCGATAGTCTCGGTGCCTTAAAGCTAAGGCCTGAACACGTGGAATAGAGTTAATTTTCGGATGCGGCCTTCTTGACAGCTTCTAAGATACTACTAGTATGTTGCACCTCAACTCCCAATGTGCACCAGGTCTGCTCAATGGATTCTTAGTTGAATCATAATGCTACCATAATAATCCAACATAACTGTCGCCAAAATAGTTACTCTGTTAGGATCAGCCTGTACGAGAACGTCATACTCATTTCACTCTAAGATGGCCTCTACTTCTACTCCATACAGTTCTGCACCTGCATTCCCAACTCTCGCCCATTTTCTCTTGCCACAACCACATCATGACCAGGTTTCTACATCAGGAACGTGGGATCTCAAGGATGACATATATAACGCATTCAAGAGCCCTGCACATAGTGTCTTCCGAAAAGGAACCGTAATTGGCTTCTCGAAACTAAGAGACCAGGCCAGGGAAAACGATGATATTGAATTTTTAGGCCAAGTATTGAGCTCCCTTTTCATTTCATTCCGCTCATTTTTTCCAGCCTTTGCTCTCCTCCTCACCATAAACATCAACCCAACTGATGATAATCTTTGGCTAGGTTTCAAGATCAATACTCGCAGCACAGCTGTGTAAAACATCAGCACCGTCAAGTTTTAGTGTTAAAACATATATAATCCACCCGGCAAACCTTGACATATTCTCTCCGCAAAGGCTGCTTGAATCTTTGTTATCAGTATCTCAGCAGCCGCCCCTATCGCGCAATGAAGCAATCTCACGTCTGGACTATGTTCAGTTATTTCCTGTCTTCGATATGGCTGCCGCTGCACAAGCTATAGGTGAAGTCTCAGATACTCTACATAGGTATAAAGAGGAACAGGAATCACGACAGAATTGTCAGGCAGAATCTACAGGAAACAGTGACTGCAGTATTTTCCTCGTCATTGCCGGACTTGACACTCTCACCGAGGGAGTCGTCCGCGCTTCCTCCATCGTCAGAGGGACAGCCATACTGTCAAATATACTGCGGACTTTGACACAGTTGTCACGAATGCATAGCCCTTATATATCCGTGATGCTTATCAATACTAGTGGTCTTGGGACGATGACGTCCAGCACGCACGTTACCCCAGGTCAGATGCAGCAAAGGAGAAATCCAGGGAATAACCCGCAGACTTCTCGCGAGGAGGGCCTTCACTCTATATTCCACGCAAGTGAGAGGTTGTTTCCTAGTCTCCTTATGCGAACATTGGAGCAGGGAATCGATGTTCATCTTCTATTATCGACTGTCAAGCCAGCACACGTCGTTGAAGTCATCAAAGATAGGGTAGGCAACGGTGTTGGACGATGGTGCATCTGGGACAAACGAATAAATTGAGCACTGGTTCCGGAAAATTACTGTCTTGTTTGGAGCTGGACTATTACATATCAAGCAATCCATTTATTTGTATATATTATCAAGTCTTACGCCAGCCTCATCGAAAATAGCATCTGCGGCCCAACTACCAAATATACACACCAACTCCATATCGAAATCCCTGCGTTTTGCTTCCTTCCGCGAACAAGGGTATCGTTTATGCAAATGACCTTTTAACAGCATTGCAAAATAGCACTATAATATCTCGGCCCAGCCTTACGTTGGCTTCATTGACATCCGTTTTGGGCATTCTCTTTCTCAGCCCACATCCTAAGAACAGCTCTCTCCACGACGTTTCGAGCTTCCTTCTCACACTTTGCAAGATCCTGGTTAAGTGTATCCTCCTCGAATAAGATCTCTTGTTGTTGAACCTTGACCCATTGTTTGTGTCTCTCACAGCGCTTCTTGGTACAAATACCCCGAGACAAGCTGCCGATGTCATCCTCTTCGGTTTTGACGCCATTCATAACGGTGTCACCATCTGCATCAGCTGTATCAGGATAGCTAGACGCCAGCGCCTCAGGAGTGCCATCCTCAAGTGTTTTCGCCCCAACTTCCGATAGCCTCCACTCGTCGAACTCCTCATCAGACCAGGCTAACCGTGAGTCAAAGCCGCAGATATCTTTCCATCCGCCTTTAGGTTCGGCTTGCTTCAATCGTTCTAGTACACTCTTGGACCGTTGACGGACAAGATTCACGAATGTGTTACGCGCATCGAGCATATCCTTGCGGTGAAGTAGTTCATCACGCCGTTTTCGTAATTCTTCAATTTTCAATGCCTCATCGGGTGAGTATGTAAGGTCGTCAGGAGCAACATCCAATCCAAGCTTTTTCTTGTCCTCTTTTGTGTCCGTCTCAGGATTATCTGGTGGTAGTGAGACGATCCGTTCGCCAAGCTTTCGAAATTCTGCCGCTGAAGATACATCCATTATCACGGCCTTGAGGTCACCGGCAGTGAGGATCCCGCCTCTGCTCCCAAGGTCTTCCATCTTGTTCTCGGGGGCCGGGTTCATGTTGAGGTACTGGGTCTTCAGGCGCATGAATTCCCGGCCATGCTCATCAGAACAGTATTTGCTAAGATTATTATTGATGAATCGAGCAGGCTTCCGACAAGAGGGCATTCGACACATTGGTTTCCATGTAGTGCATCCCTTGCCCTGCTCTTTGCAGTTAGGGCCTGGTTTAACATTAGCGAAAAACCGTTATCGTAAGAGGCAACACCAGCATAATAGCCGCAGAGGGAAAAGCCACTTGAGACTTACATATATACTTGTCAATCAAGTCAGCATCTTTCGGATCGATGTTGACACACTTTCCATGAAACCAGTCGTCGCACTCGCCATCACAGGCAATCATCCATGTATGATTATCAGGCTTACGGCAGATACAGAACAATTCGTTTTCATCTGTTGAAGCTTCTTCTTCCCCATCGTCGTTTTCCTCTTCTTTCGCTGCAGCTTTCTTCGGGGCCTTTCTATTCTTGGCACCTTTCTTCTTCTTCGGCCTGCTCTCAGGTGCAGGAGAGCTCGCTACAGATGCAGAATCCTGCTTCTTGACGCCAGGGGTTTTACTGGTGCGGGAGGAAGGGGTGTTTGATTGATGGCCATCAACACTTTCGGTATCTTCTTCGGTGATCTTGCGCTTTTTGGCAGTCGACTTCTTTGCTGTGCCTTTCTTTCCACCACCGGGTGTGGATTTCCTACCTGAGGTGAGTTTCACAGAATTGGCAGGCGATGACCGATCGGACGACGAGGCTCGCGAGCCTCGTCCTTGTTTCAGATCGGCAATTTTCTTCGGTGTCGGGTGCTCCCCAGGCGTGTTTACGCCATCAACCTGAGACGATATAGACTTGTTGTCGATTTCATCGCTTTCAGGAACCTTGTCCAAAGTCATATTTGATGGTTCGGTTTTAACTTGTGGCCCTGGTGTATCTTGGCTCGCTTCAAGCTTGGAGCCCACCTTTGCGTTCAGGAGGTCCTCATAGAGATCAGCCCATGCTTCAACATTACCACCAGCCGCCGCTAATGAAGACCATGTAGGCATTCTGAACCGTCGGTGTATCGTGTTTGCCCTTCCGAACCCAAAGTATCCGCTGTGTCGCCAACCAATGATGCCCACGACTCGGTCATCGTTAACGATAATATTGGAAGGAGCCATGTTGTTGTGAACTAGGCACAATATCTCATCTTCCTTTTTCTCTTGGAACAGCACATCCTTCTCCATTTCCTGTATCTCGGGCGGTAGTTGAGAGTTGAGTCCGCTGCAAACGTACGACGGGCTGTCGGGTGCAGGATCGATGCTTGCCATGTGCTCAAGGATCCGACGACATTCTTGCTTGAACTTGTTGATTTGCTCGGCGCTAAGATACCTCCAGGCGACTTCTAGAGAAACACCAGGAATTCTGGACTCCACAGTGATATTCTTCCCATCAACCGTCCCACAAAAATGGACTATCGGAACAGTAACGTCAAGTGCTTTAAGAGCATCCTCCGCTTTCCTTGCTGCGCTCAATTCATTCGCGTTAGCGCAAGAGTACCTTTCAGCTGTTGTGTCAACCACATCGTCCTTGTCAACTCGTATTATTACACTGCCAACAGAATAAGCCTGGCGGCTCTCTTGCAAATTCAAAGAATTATCTGGACTCAAATTCTCTTTCACTATGCTCTCCCAATGCGAGATCGCATCGGGGTCCGATTGCCACCAGTGATCGTAGCGGGGTTTGAAATCATCGTCTCGCGGAGCGTAACGACCGTAGTGAGGGCTTTGCTTAAGGAAGGGGTCATCTTGCGGTATATTATCCGGGTTTGTTTCATATGGACTTATGGCCGTCGTAACATCACCATTGGAATCATCTCCCTGACTGACGCCAGTAGATGTGGCCGCCCCGCCAGCCATCGCGTAACTTTAAACAACGCGGTAGTTGCCCTTGCAAGCGATAACAACGATGTTAATCAATACAATCCAAGGGATTATCCAGATCTTTGCAGTCAAAACTTAGAGTTAAGGCGAAGGTGCGAGAGTATGTCTGTCGACTATGTGGTATATGTCGGTCTCGTGACTCTCATTAAAGGCATCATGAAAGCTGGCGCACAGTCGGTAGTGTCAAGGATCACGCAGATATCGAATAGGCAGAGAAATGTACCGGAGCGCCCATGTATATTGTACTATTAACGAACTGCTGGGGTAAAGGCGCCGAAAATGGTGATGATAGCAACGGAGTTTCGGAGATCAATGCGGAGTTGCTGAACGCGCGACTGCGCGACGTGAGGGAGGAAGGGGGATTAGCAGGCGGGAGAATTGACCTAAGAATAATCAAATAATATTATCCTACAGGCTCGATGTCAGGAACTGAAAGCTGTGAGAACAGACGCGCGTGGTCAAACCCCCGTTGTACCTTTCGTGGAGCTCAGATTACTTTCAGATTTGCAATTCTGCCGCGGAGTTTAGATGAAAGCGGTGTGTTTTTAACTCCGACATCTGGAGGCGGTTGATCCATCCACACCGCTTTAGAGATATGCGTTCAGTTGTCCGGCTTTCCATGGCTTATAATTTACTGTTGGAACCGTGAATTCCTTTCAATAAAATACATTGCATATGGATGTGATTGATCCCAAACAGGGAGTCGGTTCGAGCAGGGGACGTTGTACTATTTCGCACGATCACCCCTGGTGCAAAATATGCAGGCAGGGGGTCACGCCGTTGAGCATAACTGACTACTCCGTACATAAGGACATGTTATCTGAACCACCGCCAAGGCATTGGAAACCAGTGTAATTAACTTCCCGTCCAGGCTGGCTTTGAAGCATGCTTATCTGTACTGACTACTGAGAAGCCTGGCTAAGCTTACGCAGTGTACAGGTAAACTTTTTGAGGTCAACAAGACCTAATGGCAGTCTCATGGCACTGAAGATTACTACGTATAGAAGCTAGTGCATGGGGCCAAAGTTAAAAGAAGCGACAGTTAATGGAGTCGAATCATGAAAGAATGGGTAGATAGGTACTAGATAGTACTATATTACGGATTAGTCTAGAAAATACCCCAAAAAAGGGGACAAAAAGTCAGATATTTGCCCAGCGATCGTGTATAATACCGAAAGAAGATAGTGTACACTGTACAGTACCAGTTAGTTCCCATGTGAATGGTACCATGTCCCTTAAAAGTGTGTGGGGGGGGTATGAATGGATGTCACCCAAAAATCAGGTACCAATTCCCACTCTCACTGGACCAATGCTACCCTGCAGTGTTATTTATGGGCGTGGACGATCAACTATCGGTGCCCCTGCAGATGGGAATGCGCGAATCAAAGGTCGGGGGTTAGAGGATGTCGTTCACTGGCAGCATCCATGATCGGCCCATTCCCGGACGATAGACACACAGGCATTAGGACCGGGCGGGATGGTGATTGGCCCTGGGAACAGCACCTAAATCATAGCGAGTTCTGGAACGGATGCACAACCGAATCGGAAAGGACGATGGTCCTACGCCTTTGGGTTTAGTTCGCCCATCTTCCCATCTAATCTCGAACCCTTCAATCCTTCCAGCTTCAACTCTTCAAATCCCGTTAGCCAAACACCAACTGATTACTGATATTCCGCTGTTCAACTTATTGCCACTGTTATTACTCTTCTATTCTGTTCTCCTTACCCCTCACCCACTCACCACCTCCATATCCTTGTTCCTCAAGAGGCGATTGCGGAACGAGCGGGTCACCTAATGTCATCATTCGACCCCGTATAGTCTCAGCCGCATCGTTTCTCTCTGCAAGTGAGACTGGCTTCCAGGGCTGAGGAGGCAAACACAGATCGATTTCTAATCAACCACTTTAAGCCGCAAAGCCTATCCGTTTGGAGGTTCTGACGTTTCCCACCAACGGTTGCCCGTAGCTCCACATTCCGCCGTGAACACCCGTGTACACGGCCCTCCATATAAGGTAACTGACAGAACCATAAATGACGGGGGTCTACTAGTTTTCTTTCTGAAACGCCAAGTCGATTATCAGATTGTTAACATCAATCGTCTTGTTCTGGCTTGTTGTCTGCTGCTGCGCCTTCTGGCTACGCTACTGACTAGTCCACGTTCGGACTCGCACGTTGCGGGACCTAAAATAGCACCGAGGCTTTGCATGTTTCACATTGCGCTGGAGTTGCTGCCACTGATCATACAAAGCCCAACCCCCATAACAGCGCATGGCGTACCATTGAAGAATTTTGCAGCTGTAACCCTCGAGTTGCAAGCAAAGTACGTACACACGCAATCGTTAGCAGGGTTGACCACGCGGAGGGTTGACAAAACGTCAAACCATGTCAAATGAGTCTGACGATACGGATTCAACCAAGCCTGCGACAGAATGGCAATTCATCGACGCTTCGAACAATAGTCGGAGCAATTTGACCCAGGTCAAGCGCCATGTGATGCAACAATACATGCGCCAAAAACGTGCCTCTGGTCAGTCTAGTAATGATGCCGAACAGACGGCGGTAGAAAGCAACAATGCGCCACGAAAAGCTACTCGACGCCCCAGGAAAGCCAGGGCTTCTGCAGGGGACACTACTCAGAAAGGAAAGGAAGAAGGCCTCAATAGTGAGGGGCAGAAAAATGTGCAGTCTTCATCAGCACAAAGGTCCGATATCAAAGTTGTCCCGAATCGAGAGTCGACGGACGATTTGGTGGAAGAAATTGAGCGAGATTCTGTTCCTGGAGCCATGAGCTATACAACTGTTGAGAATGCATCCTTACCGGCCAATTCCTTCTTTCAGCTTCAAGGCTATCCAATGTCGCCCTATCTTCTAGACAAATATGTATCTGGAAGTCAGAGTAGTGGCTCGGAGTCTAGCAGTTTATCTCCATGGTCATCCACACCAACATCCCCATCTGATGTCACGCTTTCCCCAAAAACTATCCTCAGTGCAGCACGAACCGACCCTTTCAATACCCTACCGATGGATCTTGATGCTGAAGGCAAACGGCTATTCGACTTCTACGTTAATGAGATGCCTGCCTGTTCCTATGGTAGTCATTTCCGCTCTGCCAAAGCCCACAACTGGTATACAGCAGTCTTTGTCCCAGAAGGCATGAAAGGCGCCGTCACATTCCAAAACACTATTCTCGTACATGCAGCGAACACTTGGGCTTGGGTACGGAACGAGGAGGAGACTGACTATACACTTGTTCACCGCAACCGCGCAATTTCCATGCTCCGAGATCATATGACAAGAAATCCAGGTGATATCTCCGATGTTGCAATTATTGCATGTCTCAGCGCTGCAGGTCTCGAGGACTTTGACCCTCGTCCAGGGCACAAGGAAATTAGCTGGGTACACATGCGGGCTGCGAGGGAAATGATACGTGCCCGAGGAGGACCGGCGGCCTTCGAGAATACACGGTTGGGCATGCTAATCAACTGGCAAGATTATATTCTATCCGGATATGAAACGAATGGGCTGAGCTTCTTCTTCGAGTATAACCCTTCAGTCAAACGGTCTTTCAATGATCAAGCTCCATGGCAAGACTCGGTCACAAAACCTTTCAATCTGACACCTAGCTCCCTTCCTTCAATGCCATTGTTATCACCTGGGGGTGCTTTTTCACCCTCTGGATCAGTCAGTCCAAGTTATCCGCTAGCATTTCTGTCACCAGAGGATGAGATTAGGCATCAGTGCGACGAGTTCATCGACTTTTTGAGGCGTTGTGAGGAGCTCTCGATATCCCATCAAACTAACCACACCAGTATGCCAACTTTAGTGCGTTACACTGCGTTTCAGGAGACATCACTTCTGTATAGCATCCTTGCCGCACCACCCGGCCTTCGCTTTACCGCTTCAGGCAACCGTAAACAATTTGTCGCGCGGCTGGTTGCACTGATCATGCTTAATGCAGCTCTTTGGGATTACCGAAGCTCCGTGCAGCATAGTGAAACCTTCCTCTGGACATTGGAGCACGCAGTACTAGCGAGTGAGGTGAACACGAGTGGATCGGTCGAAGCACTACTTCAGATCATGCTTGAATGCAACGATGGTATACAGATAACGGACATATCTTCTACGTCATTGGGCAACCGAGACATGCCCGATTTCACGCAGTACTCTCCTACCGCTAAGACACAATACGGGCGACCTTGGTTTGCTGGTCGGATGCTTAAGGTTGCGAAGCGACTTAGTCTGAATTCCTGGATGACTGTTCACGACTTCCTCTTTTCATGTTTGACGTTACGTGTTGGGACCCCTGTGTGTCTGTGGGAACGTGAACTGCGGCAGGAGATCCTCAGTGCGCCTCTAACGAGCTATATCATGCCTGCTCTGACAGAGTGACCGGATCGCTCCATTTATCCCTCTGTAGTTTGGCGCATCACTATATTTATCTAGTTATTGGATACCCTTGTCTGTTTCCTTGGTCCTGAATCTACTTGATACCCAACTTTTATATAGCAAGCGGTTACAACAACCGCAATTCTAATATTTTTTTTTTTGAAAAAAAACCAAAAAAAAAAAAAAAAAAAAACTATTACTTGCATATCCTAGTCTACATATACTACACATTTGGTCTATATATACTATGACATTTTGGCATGGCAGCTAAGCTCCAGATTCTCCCTAGACCAGTCGCTATCTGCAGGGTTCGAGACAGCAACAACATCATTCTTGAGGTCTGGCACAGAACGCGGAGTATCATCGTGAGAGCTAGGTGAGAAGATATGTTCGACCTCCTCAAGCGACTTGCCAGCGGTTTCAGGGTAAAAGGCCCAAGTGATGGCAGCGGCCACCCAGTTAAAAGCGAAGAAGCAATAGAAATAATTAAAGCCCATGCTCGACCTCGCAATTGGCGTACATTGCGCGAAGACTAGGTTCAGACTCCAGTTGGTAGCGGTTGCCAGTGATGAGCCGCGGGCGCGGATCGCTGTCGGGAAGATCTCAGACGGGTAGATCCAGGAGATAAGTCCAAGGCTAGTAAAGAAGATAGAGAAGACAAAGAACATGGCGATCGCGGCACGGACGGCATCCGGGTTGGCAGATGGGTCATGAAAGCCGCCGTTGGCCTGGGCTAAGGCCGCTTCTATGCACATGGTGGCACCCATGCCGAGCAGGGAAGTGATGATCAGCTTGCGACGACCTACACGGTCAACGAAAAGCATGAACACTGTATTCCAGAACTGGGCCAGTGCACCCCATATCCCCTGTAGCATGAGCGGGGTTGTGCCCTTCAGTCCTAGCGTCCTGTACAGGCCTGGATTGTAGTTTGAGATGATGTTGGTACCTGAGCATTGGGTAAACGCTTGAATACCGCACGCAAGTAACAGGCGATGGCGCCAGCGAGCCTTGCTTACTAGCTCGCGCCAGGAGTGTACGGCGGAACGTCGTTCCTCGGCGATGCTGTCATTGATTTGGGCGATCTCGGCTTCAACCATGTGGATATTAGACTTATCCCGGTTTAAATGTAAGCGAGCAAGGACCTCTCGACCGGCTTCAGCGCGGCCTTTCTCGATCAGCCAGCGCGGAGACTCGGGAAGGAACCAAACCCCACAACAGAGGACCATGGCGGGAACAGCTTGGATGGCCAAGGGGAGACGCCAGGTAAGGGCACCGGTATGAAGAGAGCAGCCATATCCAGTCCATTGCTGGCCGGGGTTAGTAAGGCAAACTCAAAGCTATCCAGATGAAGAGAGCGATATGACATACAGCGACAACAAACCCCATCCCAATCATCCATTGTTGCATGGAGCCCAAAAAGCCGCGTATCCGGGGAGGAGAAACCTCACTCTAAGAAGAGTCAGTACGACTCAAGTGCAATACGACACCAAAAACGGGAAAGACGTACACAGTAAACGGGAATTGCGGACGACATCAAGCCCACAGCCAAACCTGCAATCAATCGGCCTGCAATGAGCATGGCGACAGTGACGGCACCAGCTTGCAATGCTGCACCCAAGCTTCCCAGGAGCCCTCCAACGAAGATGACGGGACGCCGTCCATATGGATCGGAGATGTATGAGACCAGAACGGAACCTAGAATCGCGCCCCCTAAATTCCAATTAGAAGGTGTTTAGCGTCCGAACGTCGTTTGTAGGTGAGCCTATACCATTGTAAGAAGCGACTATACCACCCGTTGCGGCATCAGAGGGGTGATGAAAGCGATTCTGAAAATCCTCTTGATCAAGGGTGGACGAAATCACGCCGGAATCATAGCCGAAGAGAAAGGATCCCAGAGTTGCGAAGACGCAGCAAAGGGTGACGAGATAGTAAGCCATGGGGCAAAGCCTGGACTGGCAAGTGATGTGCTCAGCGTTCGACTGCAGGTGGTATGGTATCTATAAGGACCCCATTCGTGTATTCCACTGCCTTCTTGTATATTTCCATAGGTGATTTCCAACGGCTGATGAGATTCTTGATAATGGGGAAAGGTACTTTTTTTTTTTTTTTTGTGACGTTCCGTATGGTGGCGATGTCAGAAAGGAGGAAGAATGCCAAGGCAATGCATCAGTCAATGCCACAGCTAGTTAAATGGGAGCAATCCGGTTGATTGAGAGCGGAACAAAACCCTCATTCGCAATGGTGAACATGAGGGAAGTAGTAGAAGAGGATTGAAATGGGTTTGATGTTATTCTAGGTGAAGATGTATGGAATACTTCAAGGTATGTACAGGAGGTCCAAATATCCTGAGGATTTGAAATCCGCCGTAACAAAAGGATAAGGTTAGCTTTCTGAGGTAATTCTCGCCTGACAGAAGTGGAAAGCAACCGGGACTGCCTGAGGCGCCATGGCATTCATTACCCTAGCATTTCTTCAGCCTTACCTAAAAATTGGAATTTGAAACAGGTTTCTCCCTGACGTATAGAAAGGCTTTCCGAGACCTCCAAGGCCGGTTCCGGCGCTAGACCCAAAAGGACGGGGGACTGGCAGGGCAAAGGATTCGAAAGGATCGAATCGCCGTCAGCCGCTATCAGATCGCCGAGGCCAAGTTTTTTCTCTGTTCCACTAGTTGATGGAGTTGGTCGGCTCAGACCCCGACAATTACCTCAATCCCGCTAATGAGTGATTATTTCGTCCCTCCCTCTCTCACGCGGTCCTTGACACCTTTGCATATTTTTCCTTCTTTTCTGTTTTCTAGACACGTTCTGGTCGCTTCCGCCAGTGGATCTCCTGGTCTTGGAAACTTGACTTCTCTCGTCACTAAGTTTGTCTACCACTCTTCCAGTCGTATTCGCTTTGCCCTTCCTGAGCTCATTTTCTCCACATTTTCCAGCCTAACTTTTTCCTCTTTCAATTTACCAAGACAGTCCCCAATTAAAATCGGACCACCGTTTAGGTAAAGCAAGGCTTCTAAAAAAACCAAAAAAAAAAAAAAAAAAGAAAAAAGCCTTCCAGAACTTAAAGCGACAGCTATTATCAATTTGATCGCGACGACCCCGCTGCTCCCTGGTCTTGTTACTTTTCTGAGTCTGGTACAAGGTCATCATTGTGAATTTCCGCGGGGATTATTTGACTCATCCCAGAACGCAATTATTAATTTTAACAGATCTCCTATAACTTCAGCACACCCGCTGTCGGATAATTATTTTCAAGGAAAAGGAATACCACAACCACAGAAGCACAAATAACAAAAAGCTTTTTTCTAGCCCAGTGATTGGATCCCACTTGCGATCCGTCGGAAAAACGAATCGCACCGTCGTCATTTCCTCCTCCTGCTCGATGAACCTGTGAGAAACGTCAATTCCACCCTCGTGGACGATAACGGTCGGATCGCCACGCGGGCATTGCTCCTTGCTGATCAAATTAGTCTCGCGCTTCTTTCGTTCTCTCGGGACGCCCAGAACACTTTCCTGATTCCACAAACGCTATTCAGTCGGAGCTCCCTCCCTTGCATGCTTCAGCGCCGACCGCCTTAATCGATCCCCGACCCCCTGGACTGAATAATCGCGCGCGCCATGGGTACTCCGTCCAGCGCTTTCCATACCGCGTCGGCGGATAATGCGACGGACGATGATCCATCGGGCCCTTCTGATTCAGTATTCTACCATGATGATGCAGACCCCTCTTCTCTACAGACATCGCACGACCCAGATGGCTCAAAGACAGCCAAAGACTCCATCCCCATGCAGAAGAGGCGCCGTGTAACCCGAGCTTGCGACGAATGTCGGCGAAAAAAGATCAAATGTGATGGGAAACAACCATGTACTCATTGTACCGTATACAGCTATGGTCAGTAATTCCCCTTCATGTTCTCTCCAATACTTGTATAGTTGGCACGTTACTTACTCCCCGTCCGTAGAATGTACCTATGACCAGCCGTCGAATCGTCGCCGTAATCCGGCCCCTCAGTATGTGGAAGCCCTCGAAGCCCGTCTACACAAGGCTGAGGCTCTCCTCCGAGTCGTTCTTCCCGACATCAATCTGGACGATCCCCGATTCGATGAGCATGCTACCGAACAAATGCTAGCCGCCGTCAAGCGCGAGAAGCATCAGCCACAGCAACCGCCCGTGACCACCAACGGCTCCAATCCCTCGACCGTTGCTACGGGCTCAGCGGATGCTCCATCAGATAACTGTTGCGGTGAAGAATCTCTACTCGAATCGATGGTGGATAATTCAGGCTATCTGGACCTGGACGATCAGGGTCACTGGGATTATCATGGGCACACCTCCGGCATCACATTCCTCCGACGACTTCGAAAGCAGTTGGGTGCCGTTGACATCTCAGCGCCGGCCTTGCGATCGCGACCCATCTCACAAATGTTGGACAGTCCCAAGTCGGCATCGGAGTCCCCGCAGGATGCATCGCTGCCCCCCACTCATGACCTGCCGTCACGCAGTGTGGCACGACGTCTGTGTCACAATGCCTTGGAAGATGGCTGTTCTCTGATGCGATTTGTTCACGAACCTTCGTTTTACGCCATGCTAGATCGGATCTACGATACCCTGCCTGAGCAGTATACCAACGAGGAGCATGCTTTTCTACCACTCCTCTACATTGTGATGGCTGTCGGTTGCTTGTTCTCGGATGATGGGACTGGTACCCTGGATCTCTCCGGTTATGAAAGCGCCATCGGCCAAGGGTATGTCTATCCTTGGCGCTAAAGTTATATATTCGCTAACTCCAGCCAGGTTTCAATACTTCAAAGCCGGGCGGCAGCTCTTAGAGATCACTGACTGCCGCGACTTGACCTCACTTCAGACAATTTGCTTCATGGTATTGTTCTTGCAATCATCTGCCAAGCTGAGCACCTGTTATTCATATGTCGGCATTGCCCTTCGCTCTGCCCTACGCCTGGGCCTGCACCGCTCGGTATCAGCCAACTTTAACCCCCTCGAACAAGAGCTGCGGAAACGTATCTTTTGGGTTATTCGGAAGATGGACGTCTATGTCAGCACGCTTTTGGGGCTACCCCAGATGCTAAGTGATGATGACATCGACCAGGAATACCCAATGTCGATCGACGGCGAGTTCATCACTTCAGATGGCATCCTGCCCACACCAGCGGATTATACGCCACTCATGGCAGGTGCCAATGCGCACACACGGCTTTCAAGCATTATGCTGAAAGTGGTGAAATATATCTATCCGGTTAAAAACGCCCAGCACCGATCTAAGTCGGATCAACGGTATGTTGTAAGTCATTCCAAGATCCGGGAGATTGAGCGGGATCTTCAGGCTTGGATGGAGGAACTACCAGCGGCTTTGCGACCGGGGACCGAAGTGTCCCCTCAACTCGAGAGGTATATTGGATCATCTCTACCCTTTTGTGGGACCAAAACTAACTTGCTTTAGGGTACGGCAGTTGCTGCGCATCAGCTATGCCCATGTGCAAGTGGTCATGTACCGCCCTTTCTTGCACTATGTCTCGAGCGGCTCTCAGGCCCGGGGCGTCGATCGGCGATCCTACGCCTGTGCCGCTGCATGCGTTAGCGTTTCCCGGAATATCGTTCATATCACCACTGGTATGCACAAGAGAGGTCTGCTTAATGGTTCCTACTGGTTTACCATGTATACCACCTACTTTGCTATCCTATCCTTGCTGTTCTTTGTGCTCGAAAATCCCGACTCTCCCACAGCTAAAGACGGCGTGTTGAAGGATGCCATGGAAGGCAAGAACACTTTGGCAGGCCTGGCAAAGAAGAGCTTGGCGGCGGATCGGTGCTCCCAAAGCCTCATCTGCCTTTTCAAGAGTCTTCCGGAATTATTAAAGAACCGCCAGAGCAAAGTCAATCCGGTGAATCTAAAGCGCCCTGCCCCATCCAGTAGCAGCAAACCAGGTAATGCTAAAAGTCCTACGGCCCCACCCGCGATGCCTCCTCCGCAGAGAGCGAGCACATTCCCTATTCAGTTGTTGAACAGGTCAACCAAAGAGGCCAGTAATATGCCCAAAAACCTAGACGACAACCCTCCCCGCCATAGCCGATCAAATTCTCGTCCAGCGAACACTCCACCCCCCTGGTTTTCGTCCACGCCCGAACCGCCATTAGAAACCATATCAACCCCATCCGAGACACAGGCAACCGAGTCCATCGCTGCCTCATCCAACACATCTCCCCTGCCAATGTCCATGACCACGCAGGACATGCCCACGAGTCCATTTGTCGCCCAGCAGTTCACAAATCCAACCAACCTTCCTGATCTGATGCCCATCATGTTTCCCTCTGATGATCCTTTTGCCTACCCGACCCAGCCGATGTCTACCTTGGAGAATGACCATTTCCGACAGGACGGTGGAGCCATGCAATTCGGGCGGGATCTCGCGACGCAGCGGTCGGCGCCATCTTCGACTGATCCCACGAACGCTATCGGGGTGTCCACACCGACTCTAGATGGTCTAGGCAACTTTCCCTTGTTTTCCAACAACAACACCCCAACACTCATGAATGCTGCTCTCCCTATGCGGTTAGCAAACCCTTCTTCTGTGAGCCAGTCGCGGTTACAGTCGCCTGTTTCACACGCATCCACCCCGGCGAGTGGAGAGGCAGTCAACAGTCCCGATCTGGTATCTCTCCCGAACAACAACTTCATGTGGCAGGGTTACAACTTTCAGCCTCAAAACTTCCCCACGGAGCAGTCGACGCAGCCGCCGATGCCATCAGGGAATGTGCAGAACTTCGGCATGGGTGTCGAGGACAATTCCATGGGGATGGGCATTGATTTAGGGATCTCGCTGGACGATATCTTTGGGAACACCGATGCGTGCCGGACCGGCAACGGACTTCCCAGCGACGATTGGATCCAATGGATGAATGTTGGAAATTGATTTGGTATGATACCTTTCTTTTGCTATTCCACGAAGTTAATGTAACGAGCAATGGAGTACGGATATTGATGCGGCGTTTGTGGGTTTCGTGTAGTTAATGAGTATCATTATCCGTATATAGATGAAATGTTCATGTTGATTTGTACATAACAGGCTCTCGGGGTATAGAAGTGTCTATTTAGCAGACGATCTATATATATTTCTCTATATAGTATGATACACGTATAGTACAATAACTCCACCACCTCTATCCAAGAAAACAACCCAATAAAATATATTAGGGTGAAAAAAAAAAAAGAAGAGAATCACGCCGTCTTCCTTCTCGGCGACTGATACCAACTCCAAATATTCAACCCAACCTTCGTCCCCTCCGTCACCGGAAATGCCGCATGCCACGTCTCTAAATACCCACTTCCATCCGGCCTCAAATTCTCCCAAAAGATCGCATTCCCCTTCAACGGCCGAAACGTAACCCCTTCCGCCTCACTCTCACAATCCATAAACCGACACCACTTCTCATCCCTCGGCCTCTTGAACCGCGGAAAGTTCGTCCCACCACCGGTACACTCGTCCCTGAGATACACCATGAACGTACTGGCGCGGTCGCCGCCACGCGCGCCCGAGCCCATCCAGTCATAGTGGTGCCGGTAGTGGCCGGAGGCGTTGTACCGCTGGGCCCACATGCGCTCGATGTACAGGTGCGGTTGCCAGCCTTGGAAGGCCTTTGCGCGGTTCTCGAGACAACGGACTGTGTTGGTACGGGCAAGGAGGGCACGGTCGGAGAGTCGCGTATCGGGGTCAAGTCTTTCTGTCGTGCCGTCGTAGATTATGGAGGGGGTGTAGGTTTCTTGGCTTTTTTTTTTTTTTATGATGGTTGTCAGTACCCCTTTCTTTTTTGCTTTTCGTTTATCCTGGTCGTTGTTGTGCTATGTGTGTGTGGGAAGGTACAGAGTAGATGGATTTGCGCTTGCGCAATGGGGTTGGTTGAACTCACCCGAGCTCAACGAGGTGGTCGGCTTCCTCGGAACTGAGGAAATCCTCGATATAAATTACCAATGGGTCGCGACGGAGGAGATGGACCCGGTAATTGTCCGGGGGACAGGTGGGCTCAATGCCATCGTCTAGACTGAAGAAGGTGTCGTTTAGGATTGGGCCTTGGTGGTCGAAGGCGAGGTCTTCTTCGGAGGGGGAAAAGAGTTGACGGAGGACCGGAGCAATAAGGAAGATGTAGATTGGGATGAGGTAGAAGAGGGAGCCGAGAATTGTTGAGAGTTTTAACATGCTTTCCTGGGTAGAAAGAGATATATGTAATATATATACACATGGAGAGGGAAAGGATGTTTGTTTTTGGAGATCTGGGAAGGGTTTAGTTAATCGATATACTTATTCAGCAAAAGTCCAGAATGCGAGCGCCGGCTGATCGCGGAATTGCTTGTTTGGTTTTAGGGCGTGAGTGTGGGACGTCGTACTAGACCGGATGAAGCAAGTATCTTCTATCGCTGATCAACTACTTTCTATACGCAAGTACTTACTAGTGCTACCCCTCTCGACATCATTGTGGTTGGCTTGGGGATACTATCCCCTTGGGGTAGATGACTAGAGCTAAGACAAAACCAGAAGGTCATGATAGTTTGCTTACTTAGGGCTCGTCCATGATGCCTTCACAAAAGTAATAAGCTATATTATAGATTAGACAGCTTTACTCTATGTACACTTTAGAGACTTTATAGAGATTGGCATATCAGAAGAATCCAGGAGCGAGCGGTGCGGTTAGTATATGTTCAATGAGTGATCAATGAGTGAACAGTGAGTGCCCAGGAGTGCTCACAGAACAATTATATATTGCCCTTATAGAAGCAAGTTAGCTGTATGGGGGGTAATCGGGTAGGAGTTGGAGAAAAACAATTCAAATTATACACTGTTTTTACAGAAACCATGAATAGCAACGCTTCATGTTACTGTCAAGATATCTATTAAAGAGTCGCATATTACTTTCCCTGCTGAGTAAAGAATGGTTACGGGACTTATGTGGTCAAAGCGTGAAATGTGATGATTCCATCGTTTTCTGTAGAATGATTGACTTAAAGAACCTGCCAGATCTCTATCAACTCTGCCCGACAGACCTGGTCCAACTGCCAGTATTCTCGTTTGAACACCGCAACTAGAAAATTATAAACTCAGTGTTATAGAAAGAGCAAGGTACCTGGCACACTCATTCATCTCCATAGAAGTCTCCTTCCATCTTCCGCGCCTAAAATGCACCCAACATGGATAGACATCCCCATTCTCAATCTCAGGCACCAACTGGGACAGGATGCATACGATCAGTCAGAACAATATCTTTGGAAGATCACGTTAAAGCAACAGCAAACTGGTCTCCTGATATCACCATCGAACTATATCCTGTCAAGCTCTGGATGTGATTGGGACTTCGTTTACATCGAGAGCGTCATAGCAGTATCAAAATAGGCGCCACTAAACCCTATTGTCCACGAGTAACAACTTCGTTGCTGTTTCCCCACTCAATATCCGAGGTATTAAAGTGAGGATTCTCTAAGTGCATTTTTTTCCATATCTAACCAGCCGTATTCATCTTCTACTTGGTTTGTTTTTGTTCCTTTCATCTCGAGGCAGCGCCTCCCCCCTTCACGACAGCTCACCACAGACCAAAGGATTGAAGACTAACTACCACAGAGCCCAAAATCACAGTGAAAATCACAATGCCGACTCCGACGGCCGATCCAGAATTTCTCCTCCCCGACCCTACAGTTCAACAGCGGCGGCTGCAAAATACGGCTCAAAACCAGGCTGCAGCCTCGAGATTGCAGGATACCTCTCGCTCGGCCGGCGAATCCCGGGGAGAGGACCTGACTTCGGGGATGACGCTACAGGAGTTCCTTCAGACTACAATGGATAAAGATGGAAATCCTGTGCCGGACTCTAATGCTTTCACGGATGGCGCCAAGATGCAGAAAGGCAGTCGAGCCCTGGATGAGGCGGATCTAGTCGATGCCGCTTGGAGTGCTTTTGATTAAGGTGGAGTTTTTGGCATATATTACTGTGATGGTTTAAAAGCGTGTCATGATGAAGCATTCAATCTTTGTACATCATTGTTATGATTCGTTACGCTCATTAGAATGATCGGTTTCAAGTGTTAGTTACTTCTCTCTCGTCTCGTGTCTGATAATCTATTATGAGTTAAGACTGCAACACTGTTAGTTAAAATGGTGTATATCAGGATGTCCTGGCCATGAATAATGTCTTACATACTCTTCACCTTACACCGAAAATCCTAGAGGTCACCGGAATAGGTAGTCCAGGGGCGCAAAAGCGAGGGGGGCCTTCAGGGTCAAGGCATTGTCCTTGGGACAGTAGCAAACAAACGTACGCGAGACCAACCCCACAGCTCGATCGTCGCACATGTGACATCAGGAAACTACGGCGAGTTGTGGAGTAACCCCTCTTTCTCTGGTTTCACTGGTCGATGCAATAATTCCGACAACCCTAACACGACTTTTGGGATTGAGTGGATCGGCCCATGTCAGCTTTGCGTACCGATGATATAAACGCGCCTTCCGCACGCCACAAGCGTTCTGCTGGAAGTTGAGGAATTATTATCACGTGGAATAGCAATTGGCACCGTGGTTCCGCTTCATGAAAAACATCCGATACTGTGTATCTCGGCGGGTGTGGTTTCGATGCCCTAATTAGCATTATGATGTAATGGGTTCGCCTCTCACTTACCCAAGGTGGTAACATGACCATCCCGTTCATATTGGACTAGACCATGCCATTCGTTTCATAGACTACAAAAGTAGAATTGGTTATATAATGCGTCTCTGCGAGCTTACCGATCGGCCGATTTTCGGACTGCCTCGAACTTCCATGTTGATGACGTGGGGTCTAGAATTCCAGAGAGTCTGAAGATTGCTAACAGAGAAATAGTTCATATACACAAATAGCCCCGAGCTGTCTTTGGAGTCATTCAACTGTTCCTGATACTCTCTACAATCCTTGATGAACACACCCACGCCTAAGTCAGCCAGACATGCCAGACAAAGTAAAAGTAGTCATAGTCGGTGACGAAGGCGTGGGCAAATCAGCACTCATTCTACGGGTAAGTAAAGTACCAATCCATCGAACGCCCAAAAGCCAACTTACCAGTAACTGACACGCTCAAGCTCTGCTTCGACCACTTCTCCAACACACATGAAGCCACAGCGGACGACAGTATCCGCAAATCCACCGTAGTCGACGGTAAAGAGTGCGAACTCGATATCATAGACACCGCCGGCCGAGAGCAGTATGCCACGCTAATCGAGGAATGGATTCGACAGGGCGAAGTCTTCGTTTTGGTTTTCGATGTCGCATCTCGGGAATCGTTCACTCATGTTCGAAAATACTACGACCAGGTCCGAAAGATCAAGGAGATTGTAGATGACCACTCGATAAACCCACCTGCTACGCATCCGGGCCCGCCGCATTTTGCGCCCTTGATCTTGGTCGGGAATAAGAGTGACCTGCAACATAAGCGGGCTGTGTCGGAATCGGAGGGCATGGGGCTCGCTAAAGAGTTGTGCGGCGAGTATGTTGAGGCTTCTGCTAGGGATAATGTTAATGTTGAGGCGGCGTTCAATCATGCGGTTCGAAAGATTCGGAAGCGTCGGTATGAGGCTGATCATTCGCTTTTCTCGCAAGCTGATGGGACTGCAACGACGACGAAGCGGTATAGACCATTTCATCGGAGACATCCTGGTAGCTGTAATTGCGTTATCCTATGATGATGGGGTGGATATCATTCTTAGAGATCATTAAAGATTAATGCGTTTTCGAGGTTGGTGTACTCTTGAGTTCTAGATGGAAATTTCCCGGCATCAGGTATATGTGCTGGCCCTTTTCCCGGGATATGCAATCTTTACGTGTCATGTCCACTTTTCCTTTTTACGTATTTGTATGATATTATGATTCTTTACTATCAAGATAATATAGAAGAATAGATACCGAGAAGATGATGTTGGATACGGTTCATTGTCTACTAGCTATATTTCTATATATATATATATATCTCTGTTTAGACTTGTTCATGAGCTGACAGATGCGACGAATATAGCATAAGTGCTTAAGAGCTGGAGTCTATATAAAAGGTTGCGAATTATATATTTTGGGATATATAATTTATTGCGGTCTATATTCTTTGTCTCCCGTCAAATCAATCCAACATAAAGCAGCAATCAACACCCACCGAAACAGCATGAAACGCGCTCGAATAGTGTGTAAAAGTTCCTATAAGGAAAGTGTACTCCTACATTGTGTATGGAGTAAAAGTGCGGGGAAAGGCTCGTAAGTTCTTGTGTACCGAGTACAAGCGGAGGACATCCATGGATGGGTGCATAATATATTGAGAACTAATGCACGTACTAAAATATTACAACGTTGGGGCTAATAAGGACTGGCCGAGAGCCACTAGACATTTAATCCGCTAGATTTGAGATTAAAACGGTGCTGCTAGTCGGGATATTAGTCCCCAGTGTAATGTTACTTTACCCCTTAGATATATAGTATTTTCCTTTTATCTTTTCTATGTTTAAGCCTTTAATTGCTATTTTTTCTTGTATTTATTTTTACGACAGCCAGAAAGTCTGCAGGAGTGGAACGGACCTGACAGAAGCGAAGTAGGTAACATAGTAGCTTTACTAGTAGTAACGGAAGTGAGTGACGAATTCGGGATAGAAGGTTTCCTGCTTAAGTAACTTGGGCATTTCATGCGAGGAAAATCCCTCGAGAACAGCATTATGTGTTTCGCTGCGGTGAAGATTGTTCGTCCATTCCGTTTGCCCATCAAGAATTGTAAGCTAGTAAGGATTTCGGTCGCTAAGCTATTGTAGAACACTAAGACCGGTGGAATCGATTTGTGTCAGGATAACTATCGAGTATGGGCTGCCGTTGACGGCGCCTTCTACCTGAGCCTTAGTAAAAGGTCAGTCACTCGGTGTTGCAAAAATTTGTGCTGTATGTATGTATACGTGTATTTCATACAGATTTTGCTAACGATGTATGTACCCCTGTACCATTCTAGAAATGGAATGGACAGGGAGGCATTCCAAAGGTTAGTTTTGATAGACAACCAAAGATTATGAGATGAGAGGTTTCAACTCAGTCTGTATCTCGGCGAACGAGGTGACTGTCATACCCTTTCCGGGAAATAGTTTGAAGAAGAAAAAGTGGACTCAAGGATTAGATAAGGATGGGGACATTCGGAGGATGCACCTGTGTTGGAAAGTTCCCTCTGAAGTGATAACCGTTCCTCTTCCAGAAGCACGTGGGTAGTACCCCAACCCATCATGGATCGAATTCCATACCTTAACCTCAGAATTGGAATCTCTTGGCAAACGCTCTTTCAACGGACATCCACTTGACAAATATGAATGGTGTGCTTATGCAATTTAATGGATGAGAAAGAGATTGTTGGTGGGCGTCGAACTATTGGCTAGCCCTGTTCTTTGTTTTATTTCCTTTCCCCATTCTTGTTTTTCCGGCTCGTAAAACGTCGCGTTCAGTCCTCTTTCCATAGAGTTAGACCTCCCTGGGATAAAGTTTAGCAGCCGTTCAAGAACCTCAAAATGCCACAAAGCCAAGGCAGCAAGATTATTAAGTCTCGCGCCAAGTATGACAGTCTCGATTCATCATCTTGGCCACTCCCAAGACTTTCACGGAGCGGGAGACCAAGACAGGGAGGTGCCAAGAGAGTATCCGTGGTTACCACTGCAGACCAGGACTTCTGAAAAAGCACTCTTGGCCCGGTTATGGTCGAAGATGAGGTAATTTAGAAATCGGCTCTAGGCTCGTTGCCGGTTCCTTTGAGAAGGCCAATCGTGGTTTGATTTCAGGTAACCGCTCGTGATCTCGTTTAAATTTCCCCGGGGACTGACCCAATCAGGTTAGCGATACCTCCCTCTTTCCAGGGTCTGATTGGGGCTAACCCAGCACTTTCCATTCATGTGTAAGCGGGGCCCGAGGGTCGCAGGTCTCCGGTAATGCTGTTGTATGGTACGTTTCAGGTCGGCTGCCGATCGAAGTCCCCTTGGTGACATGTGGACACTATATTGGGGAATAATATTGAGTTAGTACGGTGCGTTGGATGTATCATCGTGAGAAAGGAATCCATCATGTTAGACAATTATTTTTTTCTTTTCCTTTTTTTTTTCTTTTTCCCTTGCTTTACCAATTATCCTGCGAAAGAATAGAACAAGGAAAAAAAGTGGTGGCCTAATTTTCCTGCACGTGCGGTATCGTACCAGACTAATACGGGACGTAAGGAGCGCCACAGCCCCGCATCATTCTTGGCCCGGTCTTGTCGTCTTGTCCCTGTCCTCCGCCGGGCTGTGCAAGCGGTCTTTTCTGGGCAAGGCTCGGCTCCGGATGTCCGCACAGGACAAGAACCCAAGCCTTCCCCCTCTTGCTTCCAAGACTTCCTCTCTTCTTATCTCTCCCCATATTCCCCCCCCCTGACTTGTCCTGTCTGTCTTTTTCCCAGTCTTCCCTTCACTCCCCTTCTTTTATTATATCACCTTTTGTTTTCGCAACTGTTTCTATATCCGGTAACATACGCGTGTTGCATTGGTAGTTGTTGTCATTGCCAACTCATCGCGTATTACCTTCTCTCCCCATCCCTGATCTTCCTTATTAGCCAGAAGTTCCTTAGTTTGGACATCTTTGGTTCTTACCGAGGGAAATCTCACTTGGTTTGACTTGTATTGAGTCCTTTTACGACGACTTCCGCTCCCAAGAAAGGGACAAGAAATTGTCTTGGCAATGTCGGAACCCCAAGACACCACTTCCCCTTCAACTGCGGCTGCTCCTATTGCCGCGTCGACTACACAGGAGCAACCCCAAACCCAGTCGCCGCCTCAAGTCTCTGCTACCACGACATCCTCGGTGACGGCAACCGCAGCCGCAGCGACCGCAGCTGTAGCATCTCCCCCTGTTAATGGTGCTGCGCGCCCGGCCGAAGAGTTGTCTTGTCTTTGGCAAGGATGTGCTGAGAAGTGTCCTACCCCAGAATCCCTCTATGTAAGCTCACCGTGGTCCCATACCTCCTGCGCTCATCGTCACCCCACACAGCAGGCATTGTTGCCACTTGTCCTTTCGGCATACCACATAGGAGCCTCTCGGAGCGCTTGCTTTTTGAACGTAGCTGATCATTTTACAGGAGCATGTCTGCGAACGTCATGTAGGTCGCAAGAGTACAAATAACCTCAACTTGACCTGCCAATGGGGCAGTTGCCGAACTACCACTGTCAAGCGCGACCATATCACCTCTCATATCCGAGTACATGTGCCCTTAAAACCCCACAAGTGCGACTTCTGTGGAAAGGCCTTCAAGCGCCCTCAGGACTTGAAGAAACATGTCAAGACACATGCAGATGATTCGGTTCTGGTTCGGTCACCTGAACCGGGTTCCCGGAACCCAGATATAATGTTTGGAGGTAACCCAGCAAAAGGTGTGTTCTATGTCGCTAGCCGTATCTGCTGCGTAGCTGACCTTATGGAGCTCTAGGTTATGCTACAGCTACGCATTACTTCGAACCCGCCTTGAACCCTGTCCCCAGCCAGGGTTATGCTCACGGAGCTCCTCAATACTATCAATCTCATCATCCACCTCAACCAGCGAACCCGTCTTACGGTAACGTCTACTATGCGCTAAACCATGGACATGAGGCCGGCCACGCATCATACGAGTCGAAAAAGCGTGGATATGATGCGCTGAACGAGTTCTTCGGTGACCTTAAGCGCCGCCAGTTTGATCCAAACTCCTACGCCGCGGTTGGGCAACGCCTACTTGGTTTACAAAGCCTGTCTCTCCCCATTCTCAGCGGCGGCCCACTCCCTGAATATCAACCCATGCCTGCGCCTGTGGCCGTAGGTGGCGGAGGCTACAGCCCTGGTGGCCATCCTCCCGCTCCCGCGTACCATCTCCCCCCCATGAGTAACGTCCGTACCAAGAACGACCTGATCAACATCGATCAGTTCTTGCAACAAATGCAGGACACTATCTATGAGAATGACGATAATGTGGCAGCTGCCGGTGTTGCTCAACCGGGTGCCCATTACGTTCATGGCGGCATGAGTTATCGCACCACCCACTCGCCACCCAGTCAGCTGCCTCCAAGCCATGCTACGGCCACCACTTCCGCAGGCCCCATTTTGGCCAATCCTGCGGCCCATTCGCCTACTGGAACACCCGCACTCACACCACCCTCAAGTGCACAATCGTATACTTCTGGTCGGTCACCCGTTTCCTTGCACTCAACAAGCCGGGTATCTCCTCCTCATCATGAAGGTGGCTCAAGCATGTACCCTCGCCTGCCGTCAGCTACTATGCCTGACAGCATGACTGCTGGCTACCCGACCACATCAAGCGCAGCTCCTCCATCCACCCTTGGTGGTATCTTTGACCATGATGATCGTCGCCGGTATACTGGTGGCACCTTGCAACGCGCAAGACCAGAGGAGCGCCATCTACCTGAGCCGATGGATCTGTCTCATGATAACAAGGACGACGGAGAGCGGACACCACCTGCCAAGCCGCGTCAAGCACCCTCATCACCCGGTCGCATCTCCGCTAGCTTGATTGACCCTGCTCTTTCGGGTTCGGCAAACGAAGCAGAGACAATGCGGACGGCCCAAGCCGCGACTGAGGTCGCTGAGCGATCAGATGTGCAGTGGGTTGAAAAAGTCCGCCTTATCGAGTACCTGCGCAATTACATTGCATCTCGTCTCGAGCGGGGTGAATATGACGGCGATTCAGGCATGACTCGTGAGTCGCGCACACCAGAGGCTGGACCTGATGGCCACATGGAAGGTGTGGAGAGTGAGCCCGTTTCTCATCATGCCAAGTCTGAGTCTCCGGTGAAACCTGAGGCGGGAGGTGATACGGTGATGTACCCGACACTACGGGGACTCGATGAGGATGGAGATTCTAAGATGCCTAATTAAGCGATATCCTTCAATTTGCTCTGTTTGCATTCCCCTGATCTGTTACTCTACTCTTGCGTATCCTTTTCTTTACGGCTCGTTACGAAACCGTTGTGGGAGTTTGTCTTATCTTTCTTTGCTCTGAATTGTGGATCGTGAACTATCGAATACCTACTATTTTTGTAACCGCCGGTCGTGTATTTGTTTTTGTAAGAACGTTTTGTTCGAACATTTCTGTTCTTGTATAGTGGGGAGTTTCGAATGCAAAGGATAGGAATTGGGTACAATTTATTTTTCATTTTATTTTTACTTTTTTCCTAACTTATAATAATTTCCTCCAAAGACTCGGGCATTATTTCTTAAAGTTTGGTAGAGCTGCTAGGAAGAGATGAAGAATGAGGGTGACTTAGACTATGATTGGTCAGGCTGCGCAGGATGCCTTTGGTTCCAGCCCGATGCATGAAATAAACAGGGAAAAGTAAATCCAACCGTTTGCAAGCAAACCATGTTTATTTGGTGACAACAGACTACATTTGGTTATATTGTCCTTTGTTTTGAGATAGATGTATAGGGAATGGAAGGTAATAAATATTTAGGGAAGGTTCATGATGTTACCGTGCCTTTCTAGAAAAATTCAATGAAAATTTATCGAATTAAATTTTCAATATTTTTTTTTTCTGCTGATGCAGATCAAAGACATTCCAGTGGGCAGGCGCTAAACTGTAGACGGGGAGAATGACGCAAACAGAAGCATGGATTCACAGTCCAGGATTGGCGGTTAACCATCACGAGTACCGTTAAAGTGGAATTCGAGAATGCTAAGTTCTGATTGCCCGATCCGGTGTTTTCCCTGCTGGTCAAAATTCGGTTCGGTTGGATGCATCACACGAGGAGAGTGGAGGAAGAATTAAGCAGCGTTCGGGTTTGCTTGTTGACCCATGATTAGCACTCCCGAGGGCTCCGTATCGCATACACTGTGGGTAAAACTCATCCCTAGAATTAAGTAATATTAAACCAGTAATCGATTGAATAGTTGGGCTTGTCGCAGGGATGGCTGCATGAGTAGTGAAATCTTAGGGCTGGGCTGCTCGGGTGATTTAGTAGTAAGGGAGGAAGTATTAACTTCGTAGTACTTTAGACAAGGGAGTATGTTGCTCAAAGGGGGAGAAACATGCGAAGGATCTCTGCAATTCCTGCAACCGGGGGGGTTCATTTGATTCTTTATGGGTTCTTAGGGAATTTGCCGGGCCTTTGTCTCGCTTTTATTCCCCATAATAGCTCTATTTTCAGGGCCTGCTGTTCTTCTTTTTCCTTCAGTCTGGGTCGGTCTCCACTGTCTGTTTACGGCAGCGGGGATCTCATCCATTCGAGGTCCACGGAGGGTAGTATTGGGGATCCTCAGTTTCTTTTTATAAATATTCAATATTAAAAGGTTGGGTGAGCCGAGAAACCAACTGGGGAAGATTGTTGAACTCTTTTCTCCATTCATTGTTGTGAGACAAAGAGAAAGAGAGAGAGAGAGAGAGAGAGAGAGGGAGGGTGTGTATGTTTGGGTCTGGATCTACTACTGACTGTCATTTCCAGAGTAGACTGATAAAGAGTACTAATAAGACTAGACGATCCGTCAACAACCGACCTTTTGACTTCCCCACACGGAAGCGGTCACGCCCCAAACACTGGCGCGCGTTATCGTCATCGTTTCTCTTTTCTTTCCTTTCCCACTTTCTTTCAAGACGTCGTATCTTCTTCGCTTCCAACAACAAGCCCTTTGTCGTTCCACCCCGCTTCAACCCCCCGTGCGACTCCCTGGAAATCTCAACTAGGCCACGCTTGATCGTCCTAACACATTATCTTAACAATCGCCGAAAAAAATTTCCCCCGTGGCTGAATAATAATAAGCCAGCCACGCCCAGATCGCGTCTTGCGCGGTGGCAAACGATCCTTTGGTTCTTACCCTCTCGACCACCCGGTTCTAAGTTTTCCTTTGCCCTCTTTGGGTCATCTGTCTGCCGTCCTCGCTTCGCCTTCTTGAAAACCTCTTCCTACGTCAATCGTTTCTGTTTGCTCGCTTGGCGCAGAATTTCGTGAATTATATGGGCCCGTGAATCGCGCACAGAAAGTCAACATCATATCTTAGATCGAATATTGGCGATACGACGGGTTATCTACACCATTTACAAAACAAAAAAAAAGAAAAAGAAAAAGAAACAAAAGCAACAACAGAAATCCATTCCAGAATTCGCAACAGTTCGTTTGATCGAATATGCCACTATCAAACAGGCGCCGCGCGCGGCGCAAGGAAATCCAACTACAAGAGACCTCAGATGCGGAAGCTCCGGACTCCTCACCTACCCGGCCATCGAGCAAGAAGCGCAAGGTGTGTGGTTGCACTGCTTTACTGGGATATATTCTCTCTGTTGATCGGTGACTAATTATACTGCTTGCAGGTTGAACGGACCTCCCCTCACACTCGTCCCATGAAGACTGGAGAATCCGCCGACGAGGCTGACCACTCATCCCCAGAACATGAACTATCGGAAAACCAGGACCTTGTGGATATGGTGATATCGTATCTCGATGCCGCCCGCGAAGAAGTGCGCGTGATACGCGACCACTCCAATACGAAGACAGAGAACAAGCAGAGTATTCGTGCCTATGCAAAGATCGCCGGCCGCAACTGGACATACTATGTCAAAACTCTCCATGTCAACATTGGGCGCGAACCGGATCGTGAACAGAAGCTAGATGAGCAGTCAAGCCCTGTGACCATCGCAGCACGGGCACTGCCAGAGGTGAATGTGGATTTGGGGCCTAGCAAGTTCGTATCACGTCTGCATGCCGAGATCTTTTACGACGGCGAGGAGACGGCCTCTTGGCATATTCGTGTCAATGGTCGTAACGGCGTCCGGTTGAACAATGCCATCCTGAAGCGCGGCACTGATGCGGTCCTTTCGTGTGGTGACATCATTGAGATCGCCAACACCCAGATGATGTTCGTTACCCCCGGCGATAAAGCCAATATTCATCCCAGTTTCGTCCAACGCGCGCAGCGCCTTGCCAACGGGGAAGAGGATGTCGCTGCGTGGGACGCCTCGCAACATGCCCATCCCCACCCTGTGCCATCGGGTGCCCCAGAGACTTCACGCCCTCCAACCGGCCAACCGTCTTTGGCGCCCGCACCGCATTTCCTCAAGCGCCAAGTAACGCCGCCGCCACGGTCCCCCGACACTGTTGGTGCCCGGACCGCTAAGCAGTCCCCGTTGTATAACCGAGGCATGATGATGGAAAGCACGGAGGAGATTGACTATAGCAAGGACTCGGCCAAGGATCTGAAGCCTCCCTACAGCTATGCCACATTGATCGCACAAGCAATTTTCTCCAGCGAAGAAGAAAAACTTACCCTCAACAACATCTACAATTGGATCATGGACAAGTATGCATTCTATCGTCACTCTCAGAGCGGATGGCAGGTACGTGATGTCCCACATAGTGATCGTCGGCTCAGTTGCCCTAACCCATGACCAGAATTCGATTCGCCATAACTTATCCCTGAACAAGGCTTTCCAAAAAGTGCCCCGTCGTACCGATGAACCAGGAAAGGGAATGAAGTGGCAGATCGCCCCCGAGTACCGCGAGGAATATTGGAAGAAGCAGCTCCGTAAGGGAACGCAATCGTCGGCACCGTCCTCCCCCGCCACCAGAGATCCAGCCACGCGCGGAGCCAACGGCCTGGAGGCGGTTTTCTCCAGCAAGAAGTCACCTCCCGTGTCGTCCCCCGGGTTTAGTTCTTTCCCCGTAGCTCCGGTTGAGGCATACACGCCGGAACGGGGTTCGCGGGCCAGCCGGAACGGCCCCCAGGATCATCCTCTCCGCCCGCCTGTTCGAGACTACGAGGAACCGTCCCCCTTGCCTGCACGCTCAGCCATCAAGAACAGCAGCAATGGCACAAGCCTCCGGTATGGATTATCTGACAATGTAGCTTCTCCGCCAATTTTATCGTCTTCCTATTATGACGAAGGGCCATCGTCCATGATTACACCAGCACCACAACGGCAGCAACCACGTCTGCCCCCGCCTAGTACCGCGCAAATCCCATCCAAGTTTATGCCTATGAGCTCGCCAGCACAGTTTTGGAAGTTTGCAGATATTGGTAGTACACCCGCCCGGCCGGTTCCAGACATGAGCCCGCTCAAGGGTGACCCTGGGGATGGACTGGGCAGCATTCCGAGTAGCAGTCCGCCACCTCCGAATTTGGTCAGCCCTAGTAAGCCAGGTACAGCCAACGGTCTAGGCGCTGGACGATCACTGCCCCCGCGGCGTGAGCATGATTCGGCGGTCCGGTCAGCCGCAAACGGGGCGGGTCGAGATCTTGGAGACGATGAAGACGAAGATGATGGAGGTGGTTTTGATCTTGCGAGGTGAGCTCTTCCAAGTCTATGATTAGTAGCTGTACCCTTGACTGACTTCGTTGTAAGGGGCTTTCAACCCATTGGATCGTACCATCGGCAGTTGAGCAACGCCGCTCGCACCAGCGCTGCAACCTCATAATTATTCGATTTACCTTTGCTTGTCCTTTGATATCCCCGTATGAGTTACATGGCTTCCCTTACGATATTTTTGCTAGAGCAGACCCGCATAGAACGGAGCAAACAGAATGAATGGATGGTGTCGTGATTTTTTAACCAGGAGGCTCTCTGGTTTTCCTGCTTTTCTGATGTACTTGACGTGAGCAATGAGATAATGTACCTATAGCTATTAGTATCATTTATACCATATCATATCATTGATCTTTACTCAATCCCAACAGCATCTCAGTCCTGATCCGCAACAGGAACATCCGGCCAAAACCTCTCCTCCAACCACTTCACCTGCCTCCACCACCTTTCACACCGGGCCATCACGTCCCCCTCCTCATTATTCAGTACCCTCGAAGCCAGAGCATCAACTACCTCCGCAATCCCCTCCACAAACTCCCTGAACTCCAGACTCGTCCAATTAGGAATAAACCTCTCCCTCAGCGCCCCGCCATCCAAATCCCTTTTCCCACTCCCACTCTCGCTCCCATTCCCCATAACCCGCTTCGCCCCCTCCCAAGACTCCAGATAACACACCTCAGTAGCCCACAAAACAACCAATCCCTCCAACAAACTCGCCGCAGGACTACCCGCCGACATAAACATATCAATGTACGCCTGCGTAATCGTCCCCGGCCCGAATGTCTCCTCCCCCTCTGGCACAACTGCCAAATCCAACCCATACTCCCTCGCCACCTCCTCGAAGAAGCCGATCTCACGTTGAATATTCACCAGCGCATCGATGAGCACCGCGACGATCCGTCGCTCGAGCACTGTCTCAGCGTTATTGGGCGTATGCGGAAGTTGACATTTAGATAGCAGGAGTCCAATGAATCGGACATAGGATTGCGCATAGAGCCGGTCTTGCGAAAGCCATTTGGCCAACGTGGATTTGGGGAGTTGGCCCTTGCCCGCGGCCACGAGGAAAGGGTGTGTCGTTGCGCTGTGGTAGGTGGAGGGGTTGTGGGTTTTTAGGTGCGTTGTTAGTCCTCCGGGCATTTTGGTTTTAGAATTGGGTGGTTTTGGGGTTTAGTTGTGAGTGTGTGGTGATGTTGATGTATGTTTGGGGAGGGAGTGTTTGGTGGAGGTTGTGTGGGTTGTGTGGGTTGGTGGGGGTATTTTGGGGTTGTTTTTTTATGAGGGGTATTCTTGAATATGAATGGTTACGTCAGTTATTTTGTTTACATTTGTTTTTATATTTATCTCATTAATACTTTACTTTAGGAGTGATTTGATTTGTTTTATATGTCTTGGATACTGTGTTTGGGGTGAGGTTCGCATTGCCTTTTCTATATGGGAATTTACTTTCATGATATGATGATGGATATTATAGGGTGTTGTGGTTCAATCTACAGAGTAAACGTTTGTTTGAGGGGCGGTCGATGCCCAGCTCCAGTGCCCGGCATTTCGGCTTAGTTGCATTGTTAGCCGATTTACTTGTCGATGAGGACTGATGGGTTCCACTTCTCCCAGATCTGCCTCACTATACTCCGTACGAAGTATCCATTACCTTCCCCAGCTTACCCTTTTCTGTCCCTTTTAACACGGCTACATATGACAGTTCCTATTTGCTAAGAAGCTTGGAAAATTTCTCACTGTTTATGCCAATAACCTCATGGTGCTTGTCCAGGTCAAGACTCGTCTCTGCATCGAATCGTATGTACATACCATACAGGTCAACATTAGAATGCCATATTGCTCATTTTATGGTAGAAGGTTCAACTCGACCTCTTTATTTTCCCCCGTCACTCAGGGGCAGTTCATACAGCCTCAATTCTTGCGTGAACTAATATTAAACGAAGTCATTTTCACGAACATAAAAGACCTGCGATCTAGAACCTCGGTAGAACAACATCAACGGCAATTAAAGTTTAGTCTTTTTCCGAGCTGTCCTCCATCATGCATTCAACTACATACAGACTCCATAGACTACTGCACTACCCCTGAAGATCATCCCCCGAATCATTCTTCAAACTTAAAACTACAGCATTGGCATCTTCAATTTGACCTGTCAGCAAGTCTTCCCCTCATCGGCTATGTTCCAACATCATGCAGACCATCACCTCCATGGTGTATCGCGCATCGTTTCCCGCGTTGTGTAAATGCCACCCGGTCATGTTAAATTCCTGGAGGATATCTGCCAGTTTGCGCGTGGTCGGCTCGCCGCGAATTATACGGAAGAATTCCGCCGTGTCCACCGTCCCTATAAACCCGGCAGTTCCCTCTGGCTTGCGCTCCATGCGTACTCCTATCTGACGGAGATACTGGATGTCACTGCTTATAGCATGTCCAACAAGGACTAGATGACGTGGTGCACGTGTAGAAGAAGATGAAGATGAGACTTGGAAGGCGTCCTGCACAGCAGAACCCAGATCGTCGGCTGAGACCCACTCACTGGCTCCGAAATCGAAGTTACCGGGGCAGCCTGCGACAAAGTGTTGGTTGACGTGGTGAGCGTATTCTTCTACACGCAGATGACGTGACTGGATTTTGGTTCTCCAATGAGCCCCGTCTTCGGCTGGAGACATGCCAACGAGATCCAATGTATCCAGGATGGAAATGCCCACTTCCGTTATCTGCTTGTGATGATACTCGTTAGATTCCACGTCAATACTAATGAAAATAGGCTCCATCCAGAAGGGGAACGGTGCCGGCTTGCCCATGTGCAGGGGCTGGGGCTGGGGCTGGGGGCTCTCAGGCATCGGCTGCAGGGCTTTCTTTTCCTCCCAGGCCGTGTCATCAATCAGGTCATCTGCTGCACTGGAGCGGAGACCCAGGTGACTTTGTACTCGTCGGAGACCCTCAACTAAGCGTCGTTGATTTTGCATGCGCTGTTGCTGCTTGGCCTCAGAGACCTTTTTTTTATTTCTGGTTGTTTCCCATGCAGTCTCTACCATTTGCTCAAACGCAATGAACTGCTCATCCATTCTAGGCGAAGGACGAGGCGCCTCCGATGAGGCAGGAATTTGCGATTCGAGGCGGTCTTTTGTTTCCCGACATGTGCTCCTGCCTATGAATACGGGCTGCGGATAGCCTTCCTTATGAAAGGGAAGAACCAGCCCTTCATCCGATAGCGAAAAGTTGCATTGCAGAGCACGGTTAATCTCCTGGAAAAAGGCTCGGACCTGGGCAGTGGGCACTAGAATCAGATTACGAGGGCCTGTAAGAGGCGGAAGCTTGATATAGTACCTGCATCATTAGAGTTACACTGCACTTGGAAGACAGTCAACACTCACAAATCCCAACATCGGTTCCAGAATTTGCCTCCGTCGAAGAATTCGCTGGCCAGTTTCTGTGATAGTGGGCCTTTGACGTTCTTGTAGGCGTACCGGGAGATTGTCACTAAAGGAGAGAAAGTCCCGTCATGAGGCACATTAGAGCCCTCTAGGGAAGAGGAGGGAATAGTAGCGACCGGGATTGCCTGCGTAGAAGATCCAGAGATTGGAGTTACGCTTTCGGGGCCCTTGTCTCTCGCATTCTCACGCTGCTCATCGCCGGTAGCTGACTTGGAGGGTCCGGGACTCTGTACCGCCTTTGAAAGGATAGGGTTCGAGGGCTCCCGGGCAGGGTTTACGCTGTCGTTAATAGAGGCAGACCCTGGGTCGGACTGAATCTCAGGCACAGTCCGGAGTTGAGTATCGAGACTCAGCAAGGCTTCGTCCGCCCCAAACAACAAAGTAAGGCGTGCTGCTTTATCCATCGTTCTCTATACGTTTGAGAGAGCTCAGATCAAACAAATAATGAGGATGAGATGAAAGAAGAAACAAATCGAGATGTGTAACAGAAAAGGAGATGGTGCGTTTGCCTATAAAGCAAACCAGAAGTGAGACAACTACATGACTCTGGTATTGACAATTCACACTATAACATAGCTCAGAATAGGTAGCTCGGTATTTTACTGAAAATTCCAAGCTGCACCGTGTAGACTATAGTCTATCGTGAAGAGATAGATTCAATAAAATCATTCACCAGGGACTGCCCCTACAGAAATACCTCGGAGATAGGAAAGGTCTCCAGGGCAGTTCATAATACCTATATTAAAACTATTTATTTCATTTTCGTACTCTAAGTGTGTATAGCAACAAAAGGATACTTGTATCTTTGATCTGTAGGTATAGATCCATATCAGACTAGTCCGAAATAGGAATGGATCACGTGTCGGAGTCAACCGAAGGCGTAGGACCAATCGCAGTGGATGGGGAACTCTAACCAGACCTGCCACGGAACTACTACTTGCTCCCATCCATCTTTCCCTTCATTGTTTCATCTCCTTTTCATTCACAGTGCTAGACTACAGAACCGGGCCCGGTCGGTCTGTCTCACGTGGTCAGCCCATGCGATTGGATTGAACTCCCTTCGATGGCCTCGCCGTCACATATGGTGCCGTCATAAACAATAACATTCCAGCCGCGCTCCGCACCCTCTGACTCCAGCTCCTCCGCGCCTTCGCTACTGCCCACGATGGCAGATTACGACGACGATGACGCTGGTGGAGTCATCCTGGACGGGCCCTTTGATCCTGATGCCCAAGCTACCGTTACCGACTTCATCGATTATACCGAATACCTCCCTGCTGATATCATCCGTTCCCTTACTCTCATCCGCGGCTTGGACGAGCGCTATCTAGAAGCCACTCAAGGCGTGCATGAGCTCACCAAGACCTATGGGCGGCTCCCCGAATTACCTCCAGATGGACGTCCTGATGCGCGCAATTTGCGCAAAGATATCTCTTCCCAACTCGACCGCGCAATCAATGCCCGCGAGTCCGCTTACGCGGAGGCCTGTCGTTTATACGATGTTGTCGATCGCCACTTCAATCGCTTAGACTGTATCAAGCAGAAGCTTGAGGCACTCCCAAAACCACCGCCCGCCGAAACCACTGCGTCGCAGACTGTTCCCGTCACCAAGCGTGGTCGACCAACGAAGAAAGGTGACGATGTGGTAGCGCCCACAACGCGCATCACGCTTCGCTTGGATAGCCATGATCATACGAAATCTGCGTCAACTCTAAAATCGAGAACGCGACGATCAGTCATCTCAGCGGAGCACCTTGCCGGTCTGCACCCCGACTCGCCGATCGCCAGTACCGAGCATTCGGATGTGGAGGAGCCCAAGGCTGTACCGTCAGAGCCGCCCACTGATTCCACAGTCGCTCAAGGCCGGAAAGAGAAACAAGGCCGGCGATCGCGGACCTCACTGGGCACTCATACACATAGCGGCGTGGCAAATATCTCTACGAGTAATGCCCTGGCGATGCTCAAGCCTCCTCCTGAAGACGCAAAGCCGGGTAGCGAGGACATGCCGTGGTTGCGTCTGACAGAGTGGGAGATGACCAAGCTGCGTAAGAAAATGAAGAAAAATGCCGTGTGGCAGCCGAGTGAGGTGATGATACACCGCGAACTAGCCCTTCGAGGTCGGGGATGGGAGGCTTATAGAGCCGCGAAAGCGCAGGCTGAGGCAAATGGGACCGAGTTCATCGACTGCGATGATATCATGAACAACTATATCCCGGGAAAATTGACCAAGCGGAGTGAAGCAACCAAAGATACGGAAGGCACATTCGAGACAAAGTTGAGTAACCGGGGCATGAAACTGAACGAGGCGAAGAAACTCAAGCGTGAAAATCAAGCGCGCGAGCAAGCGGCTGCCGCTGCAGCGGAGGCAGAGTTGGCCGCCAAACGCCAGGGACAGGCCGCCTCTCCTATTAAGGCCCCAGCCCCCAACAGCGATCAGGCGCAGGCGGGCAAACCAAGCAGAGCCACGAAGAAAAGAAAGCCCGATGAGAGTCCGGTCATGGATGCTACTACCGCCCCTTTGGCAGGTGCTGAAACACGACCTGCGCTGCGAAGTCCGTCGAAACGCCGTAAGACAAGCGACACACCGATGGAATCGAGTGTCAGTGTCCCAAGTGCTTCAACTACCACACCGTCAGCTAACGTACCTACGCCCGTGGCTGAAGTGACTGAAACGAAGCCCACCCCTCCACCCGCCTCTCCCATCGGATCTAAGCGTTCGGTTCCACTGTCCGGAGCTGCGGTCGCTCCACCTATTCTAGAGGGTACTACTACAACGCCTCCCGTAACCCGACCCCCTTCCAGGCGTCGCTCCGCTGCTGCGTCGGCCGAACCAGCTCCTTCTATCGGACTTTTCACGGCAGGAAGAGAGCTTCGGCGAAAGAGTGCTACCCCTGCACGCAAGACCCCAGTTCCAGATGTTTCTCGAGCAGCTAGCTTGAGTGCGCCTCGTCGCAGGAAGCGGCCCGCCCCAGGCCCCGTATCATCAGGACAAGACGGTGGTGCCGCGGTAAGCTACGGCCGCCGTAAGGCTAAACCCGGAAAGAAACGGTTTCGCGAGCACGGGCCGAAGGACGGCGACATCCGCATCGATGAAGATGGTGTCCTAGAGGAGATCGACCCTAACGAGCCTCGTTACTGCCTTTGTGGAGACGTAAGCTTCGGCACGATGATCTGTTGCGAGAACACTGATGTACGTGGCTTACCCTATGACTTCCAAATACGTGAAACTAACTAATATTTGTAGTGCGACAGGGAATGGTTCCACCTTGACTGCGTCGGACTCTCCGAAGTTCCCAGTCGAACTGCTAAATGGTACTGTCCGGAGTGTCGCGTGAAGTTCAACAAGGGGTCCGATGGAATTGTCAAGATCGGTCTTCGTCGGTAGTCTATTCCATTATCATGGTGTTTCTCTGAAAGGATAGCACTCGATCTGTCACCCACTCTAGAGTTCATGAGACCACGACATCGCAGCGTTATTTGGGAATTTTGTGCCTTGTACTGATTAATATTGATTGATATTTTTGCAGCATGGCGAAGTGGTGGAGTTTGGAGTTAGCTTACTTCGTTCTAACGCATTAATTGAGGTTGGGTGTTTTCACTTATTGTGTTGCTCTCATCTACGGATGCCAATTTGCATTTGTCCTGTTACAGTTGCGTTTCGCTGGGGATGATATTCTCTGACCTATTACAATCCTTTTTTTTTTTTTTTTTTCCTTCTGTTTCTACACAAAGAACTTCCAGTAAGATGGCATATTTAACATTAACTTTCATGGATACATGTATCACATACAACATCAGGGCTCAAAGAAATCAGATCACTTCAACTCCCACTTGTCGCCCTCGTTCACGATCTCGACGGGCCGTCTCTCGTCCAGCGAGACCCGTCCCGCATGCAGAATAGCCGTTGTCGCAATTGTGTTCTTGAGTGTTGGAAGTGGCCTGGCATCGAGCTGATCCAGAGTTACCCGACCCTCATTGACTGCCGTGACGGCGTCAATGAACTTCTCGAAGCTAATGTAACCGTAGCCAGTTTGGCCGCTGAAGTTGCCATCCTCGTCTGGTGCATAGCGCATGTAGAAGCTATATCAATTCCCTTTGTTAGCGATGGCTTGCCCTCAAAAATGTAGAAACAGTCCTGGAATACTCACGGGTTGACCCAGATCAAGCCCTGTTCATCCTCGGTGACATCGTAGCCACGCTTAGCCTGGTTAATGCGGACCTCACCCTTGGAGCCCATATCTATTGACTCAGTTAGCACAATCCAGCTCGACTGCACAGTAGAGAGAAGAAGAAGAAGAAGAAGAAGAAGAAGAAGAAGAAGAGGGGTAAAAACATACAATGGAAATACTGGTTCGAATGCACACCGGCCTTCTGCGGCGCCGTCCAAGAAGCAGTATAAACACCCGTCGCAACACGCGACGGATCACTCTTCTTCCTCCATTCCACCAACAACGTAATCGTATCCTCCGTCTCATTTACACAGCCCAGATCCAGCGCCGTACCCTTCGATGCCGACGCGGTGACCTTCACCGGCGCATACTCGGGCACCATGCTCTCATTGATATCGATGTGGTGCGAGTTCAAATAGTACGAGATATCGCTATCCTTGCCGGCCCAGGCCTTGAATGTCTCCAACTGGCTCTTGGGCTGGCTCATGTAGCTATAGAAGTAGTTGAAGTCGCCTAGGTTACGGGCCTTCGCGCGCGCGTCGGAGTACGCGGGGTCGAAGCGCTTGTGGTGCTCGATGAAGACGAAGACACCGTGCTTGCGGGCTTCTTCGAGGAGCGTAAGGTGGTCGGAAAGGAGTTGGGTTGCGGGCTTGGTGATCAGGACGTGGATCTTGCGTTGGATGGCGTAGAGGGCGATGGGGAAATGGGTTGGGTCGGGGGTGAAGATTGTGATGGCTGAGCCGGGCTCGAGGGCATCGATGGCGGCCTTGTAGGCGTCTGGGTCGGTTTGGTCGTCTGCTGGGTAGGAGGTGAAGGAGACATCGAGGCCGTTGTAGACTTCTGAGATGTTCTTTTGGAGGTGGGAGCCTGTTTTCGGTTTTGTGAGGATGCGATGTATAGCATGTTTGGTTGGGTAACTTACGGATTCCGGGGAATTTGCGTCCAGACACTCCTACCATGCTCAAGTTGCCGACTTTGCCTCGTCGGCGCAGGTCAAAGAGTGTCAGGCCTACTACACCGACCTTCTTGTCTGATGTCGATGCGGTGCCGCCGACGTAGCCTGTGGTGTACTCGCCCGTACCCACCTGAGAATGGCTATGGTCAGTCGTTCAATTCTGTAGTATAGGTGGTTGCCGGCCAATGGATGTGACTTACCATCAATACACTAGGAGGAGCCATTTTGTACTTGCGATGTTCAATTGTGACCTGCTTTGGAGGAACTACAGTCTTCTAACCTCACGGATGGCGGGGTAGAAAGGAGGAAGAAGGAGTGGAAATGAGAGAAAGAGGAAGAAGAAATAGAAGTCAGTGTCCTTCCTAATCATTTTGGCTGAGCATCCACGAGTTTTGTAATTCCCTCAGGCGACCAGATGACGGAAGAATCTCCATCCCACCAGATTGCCCGTTTGGGGAACGTCATTAGCCGATGCGGCACTTGATTTGTGCATTTATTATTATACGAGGACCTTGTCAATATGTTTTGGTCCTATGCTTAAGAAAGAAAACAGAAAGTTAAAGGATATTCCCTCCATCCAGTGGCATCATGTTTGCTTGGTACTAGTGACTGGATTGAGGCTTTCTTGGGATTTATAATTGTTAACTCAGTCTACCATGTTCAGTGTCGGTTTCGCTGCGATGCCACAACGGTTAACCTATTCGGTCTTTGATCCCCCGAACTGATGGTAAATTCCGATTGGGTGTAATTCCACGAGCAGTCAGGACAGTCATCATTGGTGGATAAATATCTCGCCGGCCAAAAGGCCGAAGTTGGAGTGGATTCTGGAAGTGGATTAGGAAAGTGGGGAAGTGGGGGAGTGGGATGGGAAAAATGATGCGGAATCATGTGCTACATCGCGGGGTAAACCAGAGCAATTACCCGGTTCCTGGAGATGGCGTTAGTATATAGCTATCACTGGAGTACCGGTCGCTCACACTTGGCTTTGGTTTTGTTCTGCTCCAATTGGTTAGCTGTGACTTGAATTGGCAAGAAACGCAGACAAGGAATCTATCAGGTAAGCATCCATTTCTTGATATAAGTGCTCTATAGTGGATATATACGGCGACACGATATTCACTATCACCCCATTCAATACTGATATCTAGCAGAAAAAACATTTATCAAGATGGCGTCCCGTACCCCCCTCCGTCCCGGAGTTTACGCTCCTACCATGACCTTTTTCAATCCTGACACTGAAGAGCTTGACACCCCTACCATCCGTCGTCATGCTGTCCGTCTTGCCAAGGCCGGTCTGGTCGGTCTGGTCACCATGGGCTCTAACGGAGAAGCAGTCCATCTGACCCGTGAGGAGCGTAAGACCGTCATTCGCGAGACACGATCTGCGCTTGTGGAGGCTGGCTTCTCCAACGTCCCCGTCATCACTGGAGCCAGCGAGCAGAGCATTCGTGGCACAATCGATCTGTGCAAGGAATCCGCCGAAGCCGGTGCGGAATATGCTCTCATTGTTCCCCCAAGCTACTACCGCTACGCTGTTGGCAACGATGAGACCCTGTATGAGTACTTTACTGCAGTGGCAGATGGCTCTCCTCTGCCAGTGATTCTGTATAACTACCCCGGTGCTGTGTCCGGCATCGACATGGACTCAGACCTGATCATCCGCATCTCACAACACCCTAACATTGTGGGCACCAAGTTCACCTGCGCCAACACAGGCAAGTTGACTCGTGTCGCTACCGCCCTCAATGCCATCACCCCGGAATCGCCTCTGGCTCCTAAGCGCAAGAATGCCTCAACCAAGAAAGCCGAAAACCATCCATATGTAGCCTTTGGTGGCATTGCGGACTTTTCTCTGCAGACTTTGGCCTCTGGTGGTTCCGCCATCCTGGCTGGTGGTGCCAATGTCCTTCCTCGTTTGTGTGTACAAATTTTCAACCTTTGGAGCGCTGGTCGCTTTACAGAGGCTATGGAAACTCAGCAGCTGCTGAGTTCTGCCGATTGGGTACTCACCAAGGCTGCCATCCCGGGCACCAAGAGTGCCATTCAGTCGTATTATGGCTACGGTGGCTACCCTCGCCGGCCTTTGGGACGTCTGAGCGAGGCTAAGACGCAAGAGGTAGCTGATAAAATCAAAGAAGCTATGGAGGTGGAGCGGTCGTTGCCTGATATTGCATAAATACCCTCTCCTGTACATAAATCTCTGCAATTTTAAAAAAACACGTTTTCTGATTCTTAGAAGATCCGTCTAGTAGAATGCTCGACTGTGACTGGTAAAATCTACACCGAACTATCAAGGTTATAAATTGCTGTAGAAGCCTAAGATTGACCCGACACAGCAGTCATGGTGTATACATTGCGCTTCGTCACGGTTCCTGAATCGGGGGAGGACGTACCGAACGGACTTCGGACAGATTGCCGAGCCCTCTCTCTCTTCCTTGGGAAACCGAAGTGCCCCCACGCCAATTTTCATCGACTTGGCCCCTCACTGGTGGACAAACTTTAGCGGATTGAGGTGAGTTGGATTTTATGGGCTCTCTTGGTGAGAGTGTCAGATGAACTCTATGATACTCATGAGGGGTAAAAAAAAAAAAAAAGAAAAGAAAAAGATCTAAAGAGAATACCTCTGGGAGTAGGGAAATCGGTACACCATGCCCCATGTTCTCAAGAGTAATTCACATCCTGTGTACAATTCAATGTAGCGTATAGCATCTTGCAGCCATATGTTGCAGTCTAGGAGATCAAGCTCCATAAACATCGAAATACTTGGAGCGAACTTTACGGCGCGGGGTCGCTCGACGTAGACAAAACTGTAGGTATAGGTTTCCTCAGTTCAACTCCGTAGGTATCGATTATACGATATTCGTATGCTAGGCGCTTAGTCTGTTGTAGGGAATGAAATTGCAACAAGGAATGCAATCAGATTCACGGACCAAGTGCCCAGTCCTTCCAACTGCTCGGAGGAGAATACCCACCGTGAATGCAAACACGGGCAGTAAATGGATGGCTCCGCAGTGTTAGTTTGTTGGCGTGGCGATCAAATTATAAAGGTCGGCTTCGCCCTGGTGGACGGTGTTTTTCTTTTCTTCTTCCCTTCACTATTCCTACTCCGACCACCCCCGCCCCATACTTCGTCAGTTGTTTTCTTCCAACCATTACCTATATTACTCGACAACATGCCTTATCCCGAGGAAGCTGAAGGTTTCCAGGTCGATAGCCCTGATACCTATACCAACTTCAACAAACGATTTGTACGTCCCAGACCCTTCCTCTTCTCGGCTTTTGTTGCCCGAAGACTAATGATACCGTCGCGTGCAGTTCAAGTTGAAGCCCTTTGGCGACTATGGTATGTTGAGGTCGTTTCTGACACACTTGAAATGATACCACTGACAAGTCCGTAGACGTTGATATCAAGATCGAGGCTTGTGGTGTCTGCGGAAGTGATCTGCACACTATCAGCGGTATGTCCCCC